TAGCGATTATACCAGGTGTTCGAGAAAACGTGAACCTATCCTGCCGAACCGGCGACACCCGTCACAAACACGTGTGCAAACGCGAATCATGTGTCCACAGGACCAACATAGGAACACATGGTACAAGTCACAATGGGGAATTGCACTTGACATTATTTTGGTCACTGATGCGTTATATTTGGATGTGTCCTCTACATGTCTACCATGATTTCAACTTGCTTTCTTAGGCCTTAAATTCTGTAACTCTGATCAAACACATTTGCGGAAGAGTCAGTTGACGCTATTTGGAATCGAAGACAGAGCATGACCGATTCTACCTAAAATACCCAAAAACTGAAACAGCTGATATTTTGCTCGACATAAAAGGACACAGTCGCTCTTATCGTACAGTGATATGAATAGTTTCTTGTTACTCTGAACCTTTATGTATGCTAAATTTACTTATGAAACAGAAGAGGCGGTAAATTAATGACAGGGAATTGGCTGATTGATCTATTATTGAGTGATATTCGATCACCGATAAAACCGAAGCTTAAGTTAAACGTCTTGACCAAATTATCGTGTTTCGATATTGCAAATCCTAGCAGACATTCTTATTCATGTTCAACAAGAAGCAAAGCATAATTGGTGTCCGTTGGAACGCCAACACCTTGCTAAATGTCTTATCCCAATGTTGCACATATATCAGTATATTGTCACATATAGGTTTCTCGGGAAACTTCAGATGATGACATATGCTTTTATTTTCGCACAACGGCTTGACTGGTATTCCATTGGCAGAGTCAATACCGACCCAGTTCTGGTTAGGGACTACAGGGGTCGTACCGAACAATGGCTCTAGGGGGTTGTTCTAAAAGCGTTAGGTCCTGTGACTTACAAAGTTCAGGTAGATAACTTTGAGTGGAAGTGCCATGTTGATCAGCTGATAACTATGCCAGGTACGCCTGATCTATCAGTAACATCCACTACTGAGGACATAACAATCCCTGATAGGTCTGAAAGTATGCCAATGTCTGGGGTAGAGAAGATTCCAGTTGAAGGTACCAAGCGGTCATTTCCTGGGGAAATCGGGGTGGAGAGTGTTCCACCTGGGACAAGGCCCCCAGGGACTGAAATTGTACCTGTGACAGAAACAGCGACTCGAAGATATCCTGTCAGGGAGAGGAAGAAACCAGAAAGACTGTCTTATTGAACTGTTAGTGTTACCTTAACACTGCTAGGATCTTAAATACCTGGGTTTCTACGATAAACATTGATTTGGATACTTTGCTTTTAAAACGGCAGTAAGATCGTTCTATTTTTTATGATACGTTTTTTTTGTATAATTTTAAGGGGGAAAAGTGTAAAATGTTAGGTTTTGTTTGATCAATTCTGATGGTAATTGAAGTCGTAATGTGGTTAATGTAACCCGTGGTTCGGAAAACGTTCTTACGTAACGCACGTACAATGCGTGCTCGGCTTGGCTACCGATTGGCACTTGTCGTCTGATGAATAAACGAAGTCGGAAGTTGGCAGGTTGTCTCTTGGCTTTTGAAAGAACACTACATTCTTTATAAACTCCCTATCAAAATTTAAAAAAATACTTCTACAACTTTATAACCAAATTGGGATATCCAGAACAGAGCAAATCAGCCAAAGTGGGATCGACACTTAAGCCAGGGAAGCTAGCAAATGAACCGGACTCATATCGTCACTCCACATTTGCAAAATTGTGGAATTTTTCATTGATAGCAGACTGCAGTTCCGATTTCGAAACAAGAGCTAAACATAATTAGCCTCGATCAGAGCGGCTTGACTTCAAATTGCTAAACTTTAGATCACCTATATTTTGAGCAAGGTGTCAGAACAGCACAGCTATACCCGATCACATTAAAGTTATTTCCTAAGCCACAGTCCAAAGGCTCCTCTCCCTGCTCCAACAGGACCGACTACACTGGCAAGCGGATTGTGAGGTCACAGGACGTTAAGGATGGGGGAAGAAACTCTGTTGCATGACTGTTTATATAGTCCCGTATAAATGCAACAGCAGCTGGTTCCTTATAGACTGTATGATATTAATAATTTAACTCTTAATGAAAATCAACTCACTCGATAGCCACATATAATATAAAGTCCAACAGTAGTTCCATTCTTACTTTAGATCGTGTTTTGCATATAGAGAAAGGTGTCAGAACAGCACAAGCACAGAATCATTCTGATTATATTTATTCATTTTAGCAAAGTTATGGTATGGTTTGGCAAAATGGCCTAGTGATACACAAAATAAAAATGGGCGAATAGCAAATTTCATTCGTTCCTTCTTAACCGACAGACCTATGGCAGTGAAATCAAACTCTGATTCTTATTCGTTAGATAACGGTACCCAACAAGGAAACATGTTTTCGCCGACACTCTTTAACTTCATGATCGACGACATTTTTCTAAATTCTATCAAAAACGACGCAGCAGCTACATTTGCGCACTTTTCACTTTGGATTACATTAGCGGACCAAGAAGTGCAAAGTAAAGGGCTTTAATGTTTTATAATGCCAGTGACAAATTTCACGGATCAAAATGATCACAAGCACATGCAAACCATTAATCGGGAAACAAGTACAATTCCGAAAAATGCACCAAGTGCATCAGCACTATGAACGGCATCAGCAAAAGGGCAAAGGAGCTGCACGTACTGCACGTGCAGCAGCACTATGAACGGGTTTTTAATTGCCTGGCATCTGCGGCAGTCGCACAGTGACCCGATTTGATTTAATCAATAATATTTCACATATAACTTCCTTCCGTCCTAAAACGGATACATAGCTATGAGAATTTAATGAATTATTTGCATATAATAAATTACAATACCATTTCTTAAAAATGTAATATCTTTTTATGAGAACAACGTAAATTTTCTTTTTAATTAATTTCTAACATATGTCACGGTTTCTGCCAACAATGTAACTGAGGGAATTCAGGCGGTGAAGATGGGTTACCAGAGGATTTATTACCTTAAAAAGATATAAATGACATCAACATGAATTGATCAGTCTTCCATTAAACATTAAAAAGTAACACTTTTATGATCTTTTATGTAATAATAAAATATATATACATGATTAAAATGGAACAACCAGATATTTCACTCACAATCTTACTTACAGGATGGTGCTTTAACATTGTGCAACGCGATGCCTGTTTACGGAGAATTTACGGAGATATTCACAATTAATTACATTTATTATTTAGTTTCTACAATCGCGTTACCTATTCTATTGACTAGATTACCATAAAGAGAGTAGATATATAAGGGTACATACCTGTAAAAAGATATAAATGACATCAACATGAGGTGATGAGTTGTGGGAGAAAGAATGTCTTCCCTCGACAATGGCGTGACATAAAGTGACATTTGAAAGTGTCCACGTCACCCCCCAGGTATCAGCACGAGATACTGCTGGTAAGACAACCAGGAGTAAGACTGAGAGATAAAGCATCCTTAAAATGAAACAGAGATAACTTTTGGCAACTAACCCTAAATATATCACACAAAGTTTTTCCCTGTGATACCGATTTTTTATTATCCGGCGACACATGGGTTCTCCCTTGGATACAGATTTTTTAATACGACTTTTCACGATGTCTGTTTTTCCGTAAACCCACCTGATCAAGTGTACGAATAAGAACTTTTGGAGTGGACACTAAAACACTTTAATGATGATGATGATGATAATTCAGTCTTGCTTAAAACGGTATATGGATCTATACCGAAACGGCGCTATAACAATAAGAATGTTTTCCATACATTGTCTTCTGTAAGAAACGCCATTCAGACACTCCATGTTCAGCTGACGTCCAAAATTCTGTTCTCGTCTTTGTCCAGGTGAACAGGTCACTTGCCTTGCTTGTGTTTGTGAAGAGTTCCACCGGTGGGGTCGGATACACTCACAGTGTCGCGAACACATGGTATCATGACTATTTGATATTGATTTACAAACACATATGTATAACATATGTAGCGGCCATAAAATTTCCGAGTCCCGTGATTGGATTCGAAACACGGACCTTCTGATCCGAGGTCAGACGCCTTGTCCACATGACCGAAGAGGTTATACCCGTCAGCAAGCTGACAAGGTAAGGATGTCATCTGTGAGATGACTCCACGCCCTGCTACACATATACGGGACCACAATGGAACAGATTCTAGTATTTCTCATTATCATAAAGAGAACAGATACATAAGGGTACATACCTGTACAATTATAAACATGAATTGATGAGTCGAGGGAAAGACGTGACATAAGTGGCATTTGAAAGTTTCCACGTCACACCCCAGGTATCTGCACGAGATACTGCTGGTAGGACAATCAGGAGTAAGAGTGAGAGATATAGCGTCCGTATGAAATGAAACAGAGCTAACTCTTGGCAACTAACCCTAAATGTATCACACAAAGTTTTTCCCTGTGATACAGTTTTTTTAATACGACTTTTCACGATGTCTTTTTTTATGTAAACGCACCTGATCAAGTCTACGAATTAAAACTTTCTGAAGTGGACGCTAGAACACTTTAATGATGATGATGATCTATACCGAAACGTCGCTATAACAATACGAATTTTCTCCATAAATTGTGTTATCTAGGAAACGCCATTCAAACACTCAGTTGACATCCAAAATGTGTTCTCGTCTTTGTCCAGGTGAACACGTCACTTGCCTTGCTTGTGTTTGTGAAGAGTGCCGCCGGTGATGTTTTGTTTATTGGTGTGCTTTTAGTAATAAAAATATTATTTCTGTTAACAAAATTAGCTTTATACACGTACCAGAAAACTTATAAACAATAAACGTCTTGTCTAATCTTGTCTTTTGTGGCTCTATGAATTCAACTTTCATTATCACAAATATATTCCAACTTCGATTTTTTAATTATTATTTCCTCGTCACAATAAGATAAGTATTTGGTGTTTAGTATACATGAGTATTGAGTGTAACCTTGACATTCATTATCTATACGTCTTTGTTTCAGACAGGTTTGTTCTCGTACAATCTGTAGTTACAGACGTGAGCGGCGATGTGTGTATCGGACGTGGCTGGGGTAAGTGCACCCTGTGCATGTGATAACAATCATTCACATAATTTGTTATATGGTGAAAAATAACCTGCAAATTAATTCATTATTTGTTTCAATAGTTTACTTTGATTACACCCTAAATTATCCCTACACAACATTCCTAGCGTTTGCAGCACCTTGCTCTATTAATGGTTTATAGTATATTAACAGTATCAAAATATTTGCTTTATATATACTGATGACAAAAAATTGAAACCTTACAGTGCCTGTACCTTAGCATGTGGTATAATTATTCTTGTCATCAATATGACGGTATTCTGCTTCCTTTGTTCAGCTGCTGCGCATGGAGATGGTACTGGGTGCCGGATTATCGGGTGCAATATTTCTGCTGCAAGGGCTGGACAACCTCCTCTTACCAGAACTGTAACCGACGTAAGTCTGGTCCCTGTTTGTACCACGTTATCACACTTTGTTGCGTAACTTCTCACAAGCGCATAATTCATTGACTGAAGTTTGTGAGGATCGTGGCAATTCCAAATCGAATAAAATTACCAAAAACTTGCAACATGCATGCTGTCGTTAATATACGTCTTTTATTGTTGGTTTGTATTTCGGTCAGGCCGCAGTGAGAGTAATGTATAAGTTTGGTATTGTATTTCCAGCAATCTGCAACCCTTCCTGTCGGAACGGAGGTACCTGTGTGCTACCCAACTGCTGTCAGTGTAATGATGGAGCTATAGGACCGACGTGCAACACGTGTACGTATCGTTAATGCAATATTGTTACAACCTCCATATATGGGTAAAACCAATAGCAGGATACACTTAAAATAGTGAAATATTTACTGCAATTGTTTTCATAAGTGAATTGAATTCTTACTGACACTACAGAAGATTCACAGTGAGGAAATCAGTTATTTTCTAAAGGACAAGGTTTTGCCTGATCTTTTGAACTGACGCCTGTTGCCATGACAGGGAAAATTTTACAATCAGAAATGTCACTGTGTGCACAATGCTAAGGCCATATCCTTCAAGCAAAACTATATCCGTTACACTGGCAAGGACTAAAGAGACGAGACTCTCGAATTCTCTTCAGCCACTGCAAACTGAAAGTTATTTCATCTTCAAAATCGGTCTCCATTTTATGACATGTTTTTGAAATATGCCTGCTCGCGCGTTTATCAAAGACCAACGCTACGTGCAGGTCCTTTATTTTGAGATTGCCACAATTCGTCACCTGGCACTTTTACTTAACTGAACTGAAGCTCACAGATCCCAATCTGCATATACTACCCCAGAGATTACTATCACAGGTATGGCAGGTAGATATCCTCTACTTACTATTCACAATAAACCATTCTTATGATCCTGTCATTCAGCTTACAATACCAGGTCTGCAGGTCGCAATAGCCTGAAGTTTATGGAGCTTTTCCAGTGAAGGACTGGTTTTGAAGTACATATACCTGTTCTTTCCTGGATCTTGTATACAAAATAATCAGGTTGTATCCTAGAGGTCATCATCCCAATTATAGCAGGACCTACCTTCAAGTTTACCTGATGGCAATTCTGCAATCTAACGTCCTTTCCTGGGGAGTACAATTTCTCAAGTTTACATTCTTTAGTTTACAATTGAACTCTGAAGATTCTGTCATTGATCTGTCCATAACACGTGTGCATGCACTACCATTTTGAAAGTCCTCGACTGGAGTTACTTATCCAAATTCTGCAGATCCTGTCCCATATTAATCATCACAAGTCATATATCCTGGATCTAACTAAGTAAAATCTGAAGGTCCGTTCCCGGAACCTACCACCCCATGGGTACAAAGTGATTTTGGGAAGGGTTAGAGGGCTGCCGGACTGGATGGAGTTTTGATGGCACTTCTGGGTAAGTGCCGACCTTGAAATACAATTGCAAATCAACCTCCCAGATGACCTTTTGTTCCGGTCCAATCAATCAAACGATAGGTTTGAAGTATGAGAGAAATTGAATTACAGGAAACTGACCAACTCTTAATGATCAGCCCCAATATCTGTTTAAACATGTCATCTGGTTCTGTATTTGTTTTGTATTATTTCAGTGGTATGTAACTACGTGCGGCCCTGTTTCCCCGGGAGCTGTACCTCAGGCGCCAGTGTCAACTGTGACTGTTCATCAGGATTCCAGTTTCTATCAAGCAGTCCGAGTGACTATTGTAGAAAATGTACTGGTTCATTGTCATTACATAGATACCTTAGATCAATTACAAAGGCAATAAGGTTCCAGCGCCGTATTCCTCCTCACAACCAAGTAAAAACTTACGAAAGGACCCCACAACTGTTCTCTCAAGAAATCAATTCTTTGCTTATGCCCTTTTTCTTGGTATAACTGGGTAAATTTGAAAACAGTATATTTCATCATACATTGAAAAACAAACGACGGTAGGTCTGTTAACGTTGTAAATACAGCATTAGATTTTTTGTTACAGTGGAATCAACCGAGAAGCCAGAGATATTTGAGATAGCCGCCAGATTGTCCTTCTGGCAGAGGGGTACCGGGATGCCGACCATGGAGAAGTATTCTTTGTACGTGGACTCAACCATGTCCAATGTCTCCGACTCCGTGTGGACAAACAGGAAACAATTTAACTGGGTGAACGTCACTGCGTCTGCCCATTACATGGCTTCAAACCTACCTGACACACCTGCCTTCATCAAGAGCTATGGCATCGGGATTGCAAAGGCTGAAGTAGAAATTCAGCATGAGAAGCTGCCTTTAACAGTTAATGGTATATGTTGATCAAGGAATATCTTAATAAGATGAAATGATAGAATTACGAACAAATATGTGTTACAAATGATGTTATTCTATCACTTTCTGGTAGCGTAACTTCTGATTTCTTATTTTACCATATTTAACTGTCCCATCAGACATTGACCATGGGCATTAACATTTGTCATCATATTGGTAATACGAAATGTCTCTCGGGGCAGACGTTTTACCAACATTATTTATGATGACGTCACACTATTGTTCTTAGAGTTCTTAGAGTTGATCCTGGGCAAGGAATTCACAGCCCATTCTGAACGTGCATTTTAAACGAGTAAAACTATACGTCATTATGTAAACTTATAGAGAAATTATACAACGACATGGTTTAAGTAAGTAAAATCACTCGAATCCGTTAATTCCAAAAACATGCGAGTGCGAAATCGGCAACACCGGAAGCGCTCGTTTAATCTCCAACATCATCATCATCATCCAAAAGTAGACTCAACTTGTCCCTTTTAGGCTCGACGTTTGAACGTCCGTAATCAACAGAATTCTCATGATAACATTTGAGCACTATTAATTCACAAACGGTAGCTCGTTCCTGATGAGCACCATCAGTGTATTTCATTCTAAAAACGTTTACATCTTGAGGCTGACAACGAGCTCTAACGTTCTTTCATGTGCTAAGCAGCCTTCCTCTGTGGAAGCGGAATAAGTCACCATTAAAAAAATATTATCGTTATTGAATCAACAAATATGAGGGCTGGTCAAACAGTTTTAATCCAAAAAAGACAAAAACAAAAATTGTGTTTTTAATTATAATTTTCAACATTAGTCTCCCTGCTTTTCAATACACTTCTCATATCGATAGTGAAGCTTTTCAATCCTGGTCAGGAAGAAGTTTTCTGAAGGCACCCTGAAAAATCCATACATGGAAGCTCTTGAGTCATCGTTATCGTTACAACGCTTTCGACGTAGGTGTTGTTTTCAATTAAGAAACAGGTGGAAATCACTTGGTCCCAGGTCTGTTGAGCGTGGAGGGCGAGGAAGCCCTTAGAACCCACATTGTCACACAGCAGCCTTTGCAAGTCGAAAGGTGTGAGAAGAGGCATTGTCAGGAAATGGTAGTCATTATTCCTCGCCGCTTTTCTTTGATATTATGTCTCAGACGATAATGCAAATCAGCATTGTAGGCACCAGTAATCATCTTTTGTCTTTACAAGTAATCAAGAAGGATCACATCCTTTGCATTTCAGAATATAGTGGCCATAACTTTCTTCACTGATCTTGAAAACTTGAATTTCTTTGGTGCCCGAGAAGAAGAATATCGTATTCATCTGTAAATGTTCATGAATAATAGCTTCAATGATCCATGACTCAGACCTGTGTAATCCTCCGGGTCAGCAGTGGTAATTCGTCTTTTCGATTTTTTCTATCTCCCTGATTGAATCTTCATTGATGTAGGTTGAGGGACGTCCAGACCTAGGGTCATTATTAAGGATTGTTCTCTCAGCCATACATATAGCTGCCTAAGGTCTAACAGTGGAATAGCTAGGGCACGTGTCCCTTTACACTGGTGACATGCGGTTATTCAGTTCTTGTGAGTTCTTTTAAAAAACTTGATGACTGCTTAGCACTCGTTCTGTTCCATTTCTATGTCCATTTGGACCCCTACCAACTGGCTGACACTATTATACAAACGACTTAAACAGATCAAATATTCTTGCAATTAACTACTCACGCAATGTACTACATTGACTAGTTCACTTTGTTATTTCCCATAGTTAAAAGTTAGTCATGCTTAGTACTTTTTGACCAGCCCTCTTATAAACACAAATGCCATGTTATACTATATTAAGCTGAAACCTTTGTTGGAATTACACGACTGTTTAAAAAACCTACTCACTGACAATGTTTCTTCTAGGGTCAGCTCCGATTGTCAGTCTTGACATAACTCTGCCCTGTACACCGGCAGTATCTGATTTCAACCCAACCTCCGACACCTACTACTGTGACATTGCCAAGCCGGACTATGACAGATCTCTGGAAAATGGAGATAGGTAAGTCAAGAGCAATAGCGATAATTATTTCAGTGCATTTATTCTTACTGATATTCTTATTCTATTGGTTATTGATTACAGAATATGTCGGGCCCTTTTATTCATAATGTGTTTCACTATGAAAGATGGAAATATTATAAGAATTTATGAATGTGTATTTTCGATAAGATAGCTGTCAAATTTGATGTCATAACAATTGTATGTGCAATGAATTAAATGTGATTCATAGTATTTCTGTATTTGGAGGTGTCCAGTTCCTTCATTTGCTGTAACAAGCAATAAACATATTCGATATTCCGAGATTATTCAAGTGTGCATATGAACAGTCCTTCCAAGTCTCTGTGTGCATGTGCGTGGCTCATTCAAATATATGTGTGCATATGCATGGCTCATCCAAGTTTATTGGTGCATGTGCGTGGCTCATTCAAGTCTATGTGTGCATTCGCGTGGTTCATTGAAGTAAATGTGTGCATGTCCATGGCTCATCCAAGTTTATGGGTGCATGTGCGTGGCTCATTCAAGTCTATGTGTGCATTCGCGTGGTTCATTGAAGTATATGTGTGCATGTCCATGGCTCATCCAAGTTTATGGGTGCATGTGCGTGGCTCATTCAAGTCTATGTGTGCATTCGCGTGGTTCATTGAAGTATATGTGTGCATGTCCATGGCTCATCCAAGTTTATGGGTGCATGTGCGTGGCTCATTCAAGTCTATGTGTGCATTCGCGTGGTTCATTGAAGTATATGTGTGCATGTCCATGGCTCATCCAAGTTTATGGGTGCATGTGCGTGGCTCATTCAAGTCTATGTGTGCATTCGCGTGGTTCATTGAAGTATATGTGTGCATGTGCGTGGTTCATTCAAGTATATGTGTGCATGTGCATGGCTCATCCAAGTTTATGGGTGCATGAGCGTGGCTCATTCAATTCTATGTGAGCATGTGCGTGGTTCATTGAAGTATATGTGTGCATGTGCGTGGCTCATTAAAGTATATGTGTGCATGTGCGTGGCTCATTGAAGTATACGTGTGCATGTGCGTGGCTCATTGAATAATGCGTGTGCATGTGCGTGGTTCATTCAAGTCTATGTGTGCATGTGCGTGGCTCAATCAACTTTATGGGTGCATGGGCGTTGCTCATTCAAGTATACGTGTGCATGTGCATGGTTCATTCAAGTATACGTGTGCATGTTCCTGGCTCATTCAAGCATGTGTGTGCATGTGCGTGGCTCATTTACGTCTGTGTGCATGTGCGTGGAACATTCAAGTTTATATGTGCACATGCGTGGCTCATTCCAGTTTATGTGTCCACATGCGCTGTTCATTTAAATCTATATGTATGCACATGCACGGTCCATTTAAGTCTATATGTGCACATGCCTGGTTCATTCAAGCATATGTGTTCATATGCGTGGTTCATTCAAGTATATGTGTGCATGTGCATGGCTCATCCAAGTTTACGGGTGCATGTGCGTGGTTCATGCAAGTATATGTGTGCATGTGCGTGGCGCATTCACATCTATGTATGCATGTGCGTGGCACATTCAAGTTTATATGTGCACATGCGTGGCTCATTCCAGGATATGTGTGCACATGCGCAGTTCATTCAAGTCTATATGTATCCACATGCACGGTCCATTTAAGTCTGTCTGTGTGCACATGAGCTGGTACATTCAAATATATATGTTCAAAGAAGCGGTTCAATCAAATTTATATTATGCATATGAGTGATTCATTCAAGTACATGTGTGCATATGCGGGGTTCATTCAAGTGTGTGCGTGCCTACTAGCGGTTCATTCAAGTATTATATGTGCACATGCACGTTTCATTCAAGTATGTGTGTGCATATGCGCGATTCATTGAAGTCTATATGTGCACATACAAAGTTCATTGAAGTCCATATGTGTTTATGCGCAGTTCATTCAAACATACGCGTGCATACGCGTGTTTCATTCAAGAATATCTGTGCATATGTGCGTGGCTCATTGAAGTATCCGTGTGCATGTGCGTGGTTGCTTCAAGCCTATGGGTGTATGTGCGTGGCTCATTCAAGTCTATATGTGCAAGTGCGTGGTTCATTCAAGTACACGTGTGCATGTGCATGGCTCATCCAAGTATATGTGTGCATGTGCATGGCTCATCCAGCTTTATGGGTGCATTCGCGTGGTTCAATCAAGTCTATGTGTGCATGTGCATGGCTCATATAAGCATGTGTGTGCATGTGCGTGGTTCATTCAAGTGTATGTGTCTATATGCAGGATTCATTCAAGTCAATGTCTGCATGTGCGTGGTTCATTGATGTATACATGTGCATGTGCTGGTTCATTCAAATAAATGTGTGCATGTGCATGGTTCATTCAAATGTATGTGACTTCATGTGCGTGCTTCATTCAAGTCTATGTGTGCATGTTCGTGGTTCATTGAAGTATATTTGCATGGCTCATTGAAGTATACGTGTGCATGTGCATGACTCATTCAAGTATATATGTGCATGTGCATGGCTCATCCAAGTTGATGAGTGCATTCGCGTGGCTCATTCAAGTATATGTGTGCATGTGCATGGCTCATTCAAGTCTATGTGTGCATTCGCGTGGTTCGTTGAAGTATATGTGTGCATGTGCGTGGCTCCTTAAAGTATACTTGTGCATGTGCCTGGCTCATTCAAGTATATCTGTTCATGTGCATGGTTCATTGAAGTATATGTGTGCATGTGCGTGGCTCATTCAAGCAAGTGTGTGCAAGTGCGTGGTTCATTCAAGTTTATGGGTGCATGTGCGTGGCTCATTGAAGTATATGTGTGCATGTGCATGGCTCATCCAAGTCTTTGAGTGCATGTGCCTGGCTCATTGAAGTATACGTGTGCATGTGCCTGGCTCATTCAAGCATGTGTGTGCATGTGCGTCGTTCATTCAAGTATACGTGTGTATGTGCATGGCTCATCCAAATCTATGAGTGCATGTGCATGGATCATTCAAGTATATGTATGCATGTGCGTGGCACATTCAAGTTTATATGTACACATGCACGGTTCATTCAAGTATGTGTGTGCACATGCGCGATTCATTGTATATGAGTTGTTCATTGAAAGTATGTGTGAGCATATGCGCAGTTGCTTCAAGTATATATCTGCACATGCCTGGCTCTTTCAAGCCTATATGTGTTCATATGCATGGTTCATTCAAGTACACGTGTGCATGTGCATGGCTAATCCAAGTATATGTGTGCATGTGCATGGCTCATCCAGCTTTATGGGGGCATTCGCGTGGTTCAATCAAGTCTAAGTGTGCATGTGCATGGCTCATTTAAACATGTGTGTGCATGTGCGTGGTTCATTCAAGTGTATGTGTCTATATGCAGGACTCATTCAAGTCAATGTCTGCGTGTTCGTGGTTCATTGATATATACATGTGCATGTGCGTGGTTCATTCAAATATATGTGTGCATGTGCATGGTTCATTCAAATGTATGTGACTTCATGTGCGTGTTTCATTCAAGTCTATGTGTGCATGTTCGTGGTTCATTGAAGTATATGTGCATGGCTCATTGAAGTATACGTGTGCATGTGCGTGACTCATTCAAGTATATATGTGCATGTGCATGGCTCATCCAAGTTGATGAGTGCATTCGCGTGGCTCATTCAAGTATATGTGTGCATGTGCATGGCTCATTCAAGTCTATGTGTGCATTCGCGTGGTTCGTTGAAGTATATGTGTGCATGTGCGTGGCTCCTTAAAGTATACTTGTGCATGTGCCTGGCTCATTCAAGTATATATGTTCATGTGCATGGCTCATTGAAGTATATGTGTGCATGTGCGTGGCTCATTCAAGCAAGTGTGTGCAAGTGCGTGGTTCATTCAAGTTTATGGGTGCATGTGCGTGGCTCATTGAAGTATACGTGTGCATGTGCATGGCTCATCCAAGTCTATGAGTGCATGTGCGTGGCTCATTGAAGTATACGTGTGCATGTGCCTGGCTCATTCAAGCATGTGTGTGCATGTGCGTCGTTCATTCAAGTATACGTGTGTATGTGCATGGCTGATCCAAGTCTATGAGTGCATGTGCATGGATCATTTAAGTATACGTGTGCATGTGCGTGGCTTATTCAAGTATATGTGTGCATGTGCGTGGCGCATTCCAGTATATGTATGCATGTGCGTGGCACATTCAAGTTTATATGTACACATGCACGGTTCATCCAAGTGTGTGTGTGCACATGCGCGATTCATTGTATATGAGTTGTTCATTGAAAGTATGTGTGAGCATATGCGCAGTTGCTTCAAGTATATATCTGCACATGCCTGGCTCTTTCAAGCCTATATGTGTTCATATGCATGGTTCATTCAAGTGTATATGTGCACATGCGTGGTTCATTGAAGTAAATATGTGTGCTGATGCGCGGTTCATTCAAACGAATATGTGTGCACATGTGTTCATTCTAGTCTATATGTGCACATGCTTGGTTCATTCAAGTTTAAACGTGCACGTGCGCGGTTCATAGAAGTGTCTATGTGCACATATGCCTGGTTCATTCAAGTCTATATGTGCTCATATGCATGGTTCATTCAAGTGTATATGTGCTCATATGCATGGTTCTTTCAAGTGTATATGTGCACATGCGTGGTTCATTGAAGTAAATATATGTGCTCATGCGCGGGTCATTCAAACCTATATATATGCACACGCGCGGTTCATTCAAGTCTATATGTGTGCACAAGCGAGGTTCCTTCACGTCTATATGTACACATGCTTGGTTCATTCAAGTTTAAACGTGCACGTGCGCGGTTCATAGAAGTGTCTATGTGCACATATGCCTGGTTCATTCAAGTCTATATGTGCTCATATGCATGGTTCATTCAAGTGTATATGTGCTCATATGCATGGTTCATTCAAGTGTATATGTGCACATGCGTGGTTCATTGAAGTAAATATATGTGCTCATGCGCGGGTCATTCAAACCTATATATATGCACACGCGCGGTTCATTCAAGTCTATATGTGTGCACAAGCGAGGTTCCTTCACGTCTATATGTGCGCATGCGGAGTTCATTCAAGTCTATATGTGCACATGCGTGGTTCATTTGAGTAATTATGTGTGCTCAATTGCGGTTCATTCACGTCTATATGTGTACATGCGTGGTTCATTGAAGTAAATATGTGAGCACTATGCGTGTTCATTCAAGGCTATGTGTGCATATGCGTGGTTTATTGAAGTAAATATGTGTGCTCATGTGCAGTTCATTCAAACCTATATATATGCACATGCGTGGTTCATTCAAGTACAAACGTGCACGTGCGCGGTTCATAGAAGTGTATATGTGTGCACATATGCGCGGTTCCTTCAAACATACACTTGCACAGGCGCAGCTAACTTCTGTCAGGAGCAACTACTACACATCTTGAAGACATTTTGGTCATAATCCCTTTTTTATTCCACAAACTTTGTACATAAAAAAATAACAGGGAAATGCATATTGTGTAAAATCATGACAGGGAATAGAGAATGTGTTTATTGAAAGAAGTTTCATCATGACAAGTATGGCTGGTCAACGTGTTTAGTTTATACACTTGCCTGAACATAAAAAGAATAGTACGTTCACCTAACCAACATAATATACGTATCTTCTTTTCCCCAAACCCAGACTGACTTTCACATTCAAGACATGGAGCGGAGGTTACCGAGAACTCCAGGAATTAACTGTAAGCGGCCTTAGAGACAGGGGGAACCAGTCGTACACGGGGCATATGGTTGAACAGTCAATGGAGTTCCGTTTTGACTTCATCAAACCAACTCACAGCTGCCTGGGACCAGCGTCATCCTGTACAGATAGACCATTTTCATTAAGCCAAGATGTGACGAAGGTAATATCATTATTTCGTAAGAAAGGGTACCAATCGCACTGCTTGACACCAGTCAAAACTAGTTTCATGTCACCGTCATTGCTTATGTCAAAATGTGAGTTTGGTTAACGTGTCATCGTAACTGTACTTACATACATACACACATACACATACTCAAGTCTAGCCTGCATGCAGTAGGTATTTCAATAGCAGTTGACCACAAGCATACGCATAAACGCACACACCCGTAAACACACACGCACATACAATCACACATATATGCACACAAACAAATGCACGATTGCACGAACGCATGCGGACATTTACGTCTCTCATCTATTACCAGATATTTGAAGTGATCATTGACTTTTCTCTCTGTCCTGCTAATAATCATGATAAAGCATGTCAAGTTGGTGATAGTACCCAGATAGTAGTCCAGATAGAAGTCGCTTTTTGAAAGTCCATGTAACGAAAATGAAAATAGACGAATACTGACCTGTTATACATTGCATGGTACAGATTTTTGGATTTAACTGTGGAGGATCTCGGACGTCAAACTGTAGTACTGCTTATTCTACAGCGTTCGTTTTATTTATCTTAAAAATCTACAATAATCTACTTGTAAAACGAAGTAAAAGGTAGCTTACTGATGTTCGTCGTGAAATAAGTTCATGTTCGTCGTTAAATAATTTTCACTGTCCCTCGCTGTATCTCAGCTCACCTAAACATTTTTCACGTGGAACATAAACCGGGTATGAAATAATATTTCAATTCGCAACTTTTTATCATGACAGTTGTCATAGTGTCATAATTCAGAAGGCTGTTCATGAAGCTGTTTGGCAACCTCAAGCGTATCATCGTTATTCAAGGTGAACTAATGGATATCATATCTAATATTCATTCATATTGCACGAAAAATGTGTCCAGGAAAATATTTGTCATTATTACGCAGATGGGTGGGCGTAAACAGGTACAAGAACGAACGTTATGAAACACGTGTGTCTCAAAGCTTGGAGTGGAATTGGATTATCTGACCTTTGGCGTTTGATCTTTCTGGTTCTATGTTTCATTTATTCATTTCTGATAAATAAGTTTCATTGCAAAGAAAAACAAGACCATTTTGAAGGTTTATCAACTGAATCAAAGTAGTAGTTATATTCATGTGTCATAAATGTCATACACCTTTCATATAAACTTGGATGTTCTGGGCCCAGAAAGAATTAAATCGCAATACGAATGTAATCATCATTATTTCTTAAGAAAAAGCCCTAAAAACCGGGTAGACACCTGTCAAAACTGGTTTGATGTCACTATCATTGCTTATGTCAAAAATGTGATTTTGGTTAATGTGTCTTCGTAACTGTACTTATATACTTACACACATACACATACTCAAGTCTCGCCTGCATGGCGTAGATATTCAAAATAGCAGTTGACCACAAGCATACGCATAAACTCACACACCTGTAAACACACACGCACATACCATTACACATGTGCGCACACAAGCACACGCACGATTGCACGAACGCACGCACGCAGAGATTCAGGTCTCTCATCCATTCATTAGATATTTCTGTCCTGCTAATAATCATGATAAAGCATGTCAAGTTGGTGATAGTACCCAGATAGTAGTCCAGATAGAAGTCTAATCTAATTGTAAAACGAAGTAAAAAGTATCTTATTGATGTTCGTCGTGAAATAAGTTCATGTTCGTCGTGAAATAATTTTCACTGTCCCTCGCTGTGTCTCAGGATACCTAAACATTAGTCCACGTGGAACATAAACCGGGTACGAAAAATAATATTTCAATTCGCAACTTGGAACAGGTACATGTTATATGTATATTTCCTTCTCAGAATCCAATAAGTCTCCGCTGGTCCAGCTGGACTGATGTTCCTTCTGGCATGCACCGCTACGCCTGGGAAGTGTTCAAACTACAGGTCGACGGGAATCAGGTGCTGAAGGAGTTTAAACCCTTGAAGCCTATACATGGACCTATTGAAGTCAATCAGTCCTCATCTGCCTCCAACTCCTTCCAGGCGACCTACACACCTCCACAGCCTGGAGTGTACTCCTTCATCCTTGAGGCCTCCGACAAGGCCAATAACTCTATCTTTGTAAGAAGGATCGCCATATACGACCCTGTTTCTAGCGTTACCATAGATACAGACGCAGACAGCCGACTGTACATATCTTCGGCTGATCCTAAAGGGGGATACAACTGGCAAGATGATCCTTTTCGAGATATCAAGGTCACATGGACCAACCACTTTGTGAACCTGAAGCATGAGGAGGGCAAGTGGTTGAACCAAGTCCTCGCCTACCCCCCACAGCTCGAGGACTTCTTGAAGAAGATCCCTAAAGACTCCGGACAGGATGACCACGAAGGACAGAGGACAGTAGACGCAATACCAAACAAGAGAGGTGTTGTCAAGTTTGAGGTTGTTTTGAGGAAAGACAGCAATGGTGGCAAGAATCAGCAGGAACCAACCTCAGGCTGGGTGGATATCGGAGTCAATGAAACATTCACTATATCTGCAGGTAACTTTTTTGTCACAGCATAATATTTGTGCAGCTCAAATTATCACTGTGCTATTATAAAAAAATTTTTGCAGGGCATGACATGTTACATTGAACGCGCATTATAATCGCGATAAATGTGTTATGTCACAAAAAATAATGCTTTCGTATCAAGTAAATACCCTTTGGATCTGACATAATGAATATACATGTATGATTTATAGGTTCACACGGAGCTCCATTGACGAACAGGGACACAGTAACAGTTTGGGTGAGAGCTACAGATGTCCTGGGAAACACCCGGATAGATTCCACCAGGGTTCACTTTGATGATACACCGCCTGGCGCTGATCAGCCTGTATTCAAGAGGAACACACATAAGAACAATGTACCATTTAGTTCTACGTGAGTAGATATATAAATATTCATTTTGTGTAAGTATTTTCGATTGTTGCTCTATAACACTGTGTTGTTTGTTAACGCATCAGTCAATGGCATGTCGGAATCTTTCTCATAGACACATGATGGTCTGAGAATCTGATTTGGTTTCTCGTAAGAAGTAGGGCCAGAATCACTTGTGGAAGTTGGATTAGGAAATTAAGATCGAGCTGATATTTGATGTAAAAGTTAATGATTTTCACTTTCGTTTCTGCACGAACATCTGCACTGAACATTTGCTATGTTTTGCGAACATAAAATATCCTTCATCACCGAAAATACGTTACTTTTCTGTTTAATACTTTAACAATAAAATAGTTTTACAATAATACGACATTGTCCTCTCACATAATATGTTTCTTGTTCTTGTCTTTATCAAACGGTTGTTTTGTTTTATGTGAATTTTGTAGTGACTTCATATTTAACATCAAGCTCAATTTGATCGTTCCTGATGAGCAACAGTGTCTTTATTCCAGAACAAATCATCCATCTCTCCCTCCTTTGATTTCAGTGTTGAAATAAATGTTCTGGACATGGAGAGTGGTCTGAAACGTGTGGACCTATTCGTCAGGAAAGTGAACAGCAGCCTGGTGATCGTTAATGAAACTTTGCCCTTCACAACCATAGATGTAAGTACTAGTACATGGCGTACATCGTTTAACATCTATTATTTCCTTGAATCATAGTAGCTTCAAATTCCATTTCCAAACGCTTTACCATTTCAACACAACTTTCTCCACAGTCGTGTCCAGTCTTTACAACGTGTTACTGTGCTACCGGCAATAAAGTCTGTTTCAACAAGAAGCAGTTTCTGTCCATCAACAACTGCTGGCTAAAGCAACCAATGTTGGAAGATCAGACGGTGACAATGGAAATGAACTTCGTGAACATGGCGGGAATCCATACAACAAGGAGCTTCAACGTAAGTGTGGTTGATATCAGGTCTTAATGTAGGTCAAACGGTAATTATACAAAAGATTATATTATGTGACATACAACATTATTTTAAGATTATGGAAACAAATACGATATGGCAAGACGTTTAATACAACTACCAGGAATGAGACATTTCATGATAGCCTGATGGTTCTTCTCACCACGATCGTTAATTTATACAATATATTTTATATTCCATTAATGTCAGCAATATTCCAGCCTCATGACAGCTGCCTGTATTTAGAAATTTATCCAATGATCAAGATTTTGAACAATAATAAACACGATCGGAGCGCGATGACATGTAGTCTACCAAGTCACCGAGGCTAACCACCCGATCCATTTGCTAAGGACGAATGTTTCCCCGGAATTTCCACTGGTTAATCTACGCATGTGACTCTATTCTTTTCACAGGTTGATAGCCTAAATTCACTGACTGGAACTCAAGCATGTAAGTATGATATGAGTTCAACAATTTAACTGCCCCCCTCCTCCGTCCAGAATTCTTATGATTATGGAAAGTGTCTTGTTGGACTTGTGATTCCAGTATCTATGCCATACCTCGGATGCATCTTCTTTGTTGGCAGCGCTATCACCTCAAGGCGTGACTGTCACAAAAAAAGAAGCACATTTAGTGACTGTGGCGTGGAAACACTCCCCCAGTTGCTACAGCCGGACAGAGATGTGGATCAACTACGAGGTAAATGGACAGACGGAGATGATCCGCCTGCACAAGACAGCGACCTCCTACAATTTGGTCGGCCTCCAGCCGGACACAACCTACACCATCGTGGTCATCTCCCAGTATGGGGAGCTGAAGAGCAGGGCTGTCCCGGTGACCGCCACAACAGGTAATAACAGGAATTGAATGCAGATGTAAATTGTTCTTTTTATGTTGTGTCGTGCCGCATCGCATCGCATCGCATTGCATATGTTTGCAAAGGTATACGACTACTCGCTACGGCTAAAAGGATGTTTCTAGACAAGGACACGTTTAAATCTGAATCAAAACTAAGTGAAAAAGCAATACCTATTACCTTGAAACAACAAGGACCAACACTGTTTTATAGTAATTCATAAATAAATGCTCATGATAATTGGCTAAATCGTACAATGGACTTTTGTGTTGTCCACTTATGCTCATTCAGACAGCAAAGTTGATGCTGGTCATCGTTTAACAAATGCGGAGATCGATGCTCATTATGTCAGTCACTGGATTGTCAGGTCGGACAGTAACACGTGACAAAGACAAATGGTGTAAACACACAAGTACGGGAGGGTATCATCAGATTACAAACTTATACTGATTCGTACTGTAAAAAATATGTCCTGGGTGGTTAAGATATATACTGGCCACAAAAAAACTTTACCGCCTTAAAAATGAAGTTGCAAAAAAAAACCACAAGTTCAAACTAAATCAACGCAATGCACATCGTCCAAACACAACAATGCTCTATGCAGCACGTCTTGTTAAAGAAATGCGAAAAGTGAAAACACGTGCCGCGTAGGAAGCCGAAACGTCACGTGTAATAAAGATGTGTAAATGATACAAATGCCTCGACTGACACCTTAACAACGCGAGCGGGCCATGGGTATGATGGGATGAGAGCCGCCCAAGCCCACATTGCTCGAACATGTGATTGCTCCCGTGTTCCTGTGACTAACCTGATGCAACGTTACAGACAGGTCAGGAACATGCAGACCCAGGGTAACTACGCCCAATGAAGACCGGTACATGCGTACTTTGCATCTCCGGAATCGATTCCTAACAGTGACGTCATCAAAGACGAATGCTTTAGGTCATATGGTTCGTCGACGGACCTTGGCCAGGCGACTGAGGGCTCAAGGATTTAGGGACTACAGACCTTACGGAGGACAGTTATTGACAGGTCAACATCGTCATCAGAGATTGAAATGGGCCCGAACTGTTCGTCGTTTGCAGCGACGTGACTGGCAGAGGGTCGTCTTCACTGATCAATGCCAGGTGTATGTTCAGAGCTGATGGAAAACGGCGTGTTTACGGCAGAAGAAAACAGACGGCGACATGTTGCGTTCAGGAGATCGTGCCTTATAGTGGAGGGGGTGTCAAATCATTTCTGCAACATCTGCCACGTGGTGTCCTCTATCAGCATGACAACACCAGGCCCCAAACAGCCCGAATCGTACAGGACGTCCTTGTAGCCAACAACGTCAACGTCTTGCCGTGGTCTGCACGCTTCCCAGACATGTCCTGCATAGAACACCTCTGGGATGTCATGGGTCGTCGTGTTAGATGTGTGTTTCTTTGTCCATTACATTGAAAGCTTGTTTGCTACTCCACCTCAATTCGGGCAACGGTCCTTCCAATATAGGATGCTGAATGACATTTAAATTATTGATTTCGTTGAGAAATTTTAAACACATTGTACTTTGTGCAATCGTTTGTGGTTTTTAAAATAGAGTGATTTAAAAGTATTGTAAAGTTTCTTTTGGTCCTCAGTTTAGAAAATGATTGATCTTTTTTCCTAGTCTCTGATTTTTATGATTGTGTATTACTGATGTATTATATTTTTCACTGTTCCAGAGTCGGGTGGACTTTCATCGGGAGCCATTGTTGGAGTTGTTATAGGTAGGCGACTGATTTTCATATCCTGGCAACTTCCAAACATTCATATCATCTCTCATAAAACATACTTGCATTTTGTTTCACAACAATCAAGTTTGCTTGCCAGTAGTTTGTTTGGGAATTTTTGTATGTAAGAAGAATTACAAATTTATACACAAGATTCATAGCAGCTGAACGTAATGAGCGATTTTTGTTTTGTTTTGTCCAGGAATGTTGTTGCTGCTCGCTCTCATACTCGTTATTGTGGGCCTGATTCTGTTCAAACTTGGGTTATTGGCTGGACTCCTCGGGCGTCGAAACACTTACAGAGAACGACCCCGTGTTGCGACCTCAACAGGACAAACAACGGGCTTCAAACGGAACGACCGCAGGAGTAGATGGGCGTTTGATGTAAGATTAGTATTTGTCATACATAGTTGCACTACTCTCATTTGATTAGAGATGTGAATGCATCCTACCGCCTTGGATATTTTTACTGAATACATTTTCTTATATATTACCAAATATAAAATAGATTTCAGTTTCGAAACCAAAGTGAGAACAGATTTTTGTGTTATAGCAATTTTCCTAAACTTTAAAGTATGGTGGGTTTATACAACATTCCAACTTTGCATCAGAACACGACATACAACAAGGACGACGACATCTACATCTACGGCAGCATGGACCTTGGGGAACCCTGGTACATTCCCCCCGAGGACATCAGCCTTACCGAGGTCATCGCAACCGGCAAGTTTGCCAGGATCTACACTGCCAAGTGGATGGAGACACCCAAGAACGTCCAAAATGTGGTTGCGAAGGTTCTCAAAGGTAAATCGTGTAAAATAACACTCTGAAATATATTCAAATGTTTTGTTCTGTATTGTTGGTGTTGTTCGTTACTGTGAAATAAGTTCATCTGATATTCAATCAATATGTCGATCTGTGTTTCCCCAGTGAGGGAGAGTCAGGACGACATCTTGCTGATGCTGGCTAAGATCAACTTTGCTGCCACTCAGATGGGCAAACACACGAACCTGTTGGGCTTCCTTGGGGCTGTCATGGAGAACGAGGCGCGTGAGTAGAAATCAGCATCATAATTTTCAAAACACGACCTTTGGTTTCGTATATCAAGTGGTCCATATAACTACTGGAATGTAAGCTAGAAGAATATTTGGAAGTAACAATTTCAGAAGAACAAAGACACATGTATATCTGTTTGGTGTCTGCCAGAATAACATGCATGTGACAGCAATTCAATTACGAATGAATGTTATCCGATCTGGGTGGATTTGTATAGGGCAAGAAATGGGGGAATGCATGTGCATTTCAATTTTCACGGAACTCACGTGCATCGGGTTGCGTGCGTGTGTGCGTGCGTGCGTGCGTGCGTGCGTCCGTGCGTGTGTGTGTGTGTGTGTGTGTTGTATATGTATATGTGTGTGTGTTTGGTGTCTGTCTGTATAACATGTGTCTGAGTCTTCCTTTGATCTCACCCAGTGGGCCCCGTCATGGTGCTGGAGTACTGCGAGATTGGCCAACTGGACAAGTGGCTGACCAAGCAGAGATCAAACATCAATGAGGACACCCTGGACAGGATACAGAACTTCGCCCTGGACATCGCTCGTGCCATGGAGTATCTGGCGTCCAAGAAGGTGTGTGTATGTAGTATGTGTGCCATGGCTACCCAACACGCTGTAGTGCGATTTTATACAACAATATTCCTCTAACCTGAGGATTCGACCGGATGAGGGAGAGGGGAGTTAGTGGGGTAAAGATGTTCTGGGTAAAAGTATCCAATGCTTGTCTCCGGAGGTGATCAAATGAATTGGGTGGACAGGCTCGGGGACTTTGTTGCTAGCATATCATCGTATCCAAATTGCATGGATCGACGTTAATGATCTATTGAGTCGGTATATCTTTGGAATATTTTCGAGTGCTGTTGTGGTGTTTCTTCAGATCGTTCACCGTAAATTGGCTGCACGTAACTGTTTGCTGACCTTCCTGCTGGAGATCAAGGTGACTGGATGTGGCCCAAGCAAGGCTGATGAGTCTGCTGATGATGCCAAAGGGGTAAGTGTGCAGCATGATGCATCCTGGTTTCTGTCTCAACATAATCACATTGGTTCATTAGTAACATAAAGTTGTAGTGTCTATGTGTTCATATAGAAACTGGTCTGGAATATTCATGTTTCCTAAAATGTCGACAATAGTATCATGTTTTCAATAACCTTCAATCATACCCCTTAGGTATTTTACTTATATTTCTTGTTTGCGATTTAGGACCGCATCCCCATCAAATGGACAGCCCCAGAGTGTCTGAGGTCCTTCAAGGATGCTAACGAGAAGAGTGACGTGTGGTCCTATGGTGTGACAATCTGGGAGATCTTCAGCATGGGTAGGTGTTTGGCTGGGTCTTGCTGTTTCTGGTTGTGTCTAGATATGGCTGGTTGCATCTGGATGAACTTGGATGTGTGTGGATCAATCTGGTTCTTTTGATTTCTCCTGTTGAGTCCAACGAGGAAAGTGACTGGGAGATTTTCAGTGTGGGTGGTGTCTGGCTTTATCGGGTTGAGTTGGGATGGGTGTGGTTGTGTCCGGGTATATATACATAGTTATGTCTGGTTCCGACTGTGTCACGATGACTTTGGTTGTGTCTAGATTAGTCAGGTTCTCTTAATGCCGCCTGTTGAGAGAGTGACGCGTGGTCCTATGGCGTGGCTATCTGAGAGATCTTCAGCATGGATAGATGTGCTTTGACTAGCTGATTCCGGTTGTGTCTGGATGTGTCTGGTTGTATTTGGATGACACTGGTTGTGTCTAGATGAGTCTGGTTCAGTTAATGTAATTTGTAGAGTCTAACAGGGAGAGTGACCCATCTTTAGCACGGGGAGGTGTCTGGCTGTTTCAGGCAGTGTCTAGGTCACTACCATTTCCTCCTCTTAAACAACCATTACCGACTTGAATACCACCACAACTAGATATATTAAAATCAGGAACGATTGTGTTATCAGCCTGCATTTCTAATCGTCTATATAACTACCATTAACGACTCCATACCTATCACAGCCGACTGTTTAGCTGCCATTGCCGACTGTATGACTCACAAAACCGACAAAACTTACTTCACCAACAGAAAGATAAGGAGGTACAGACAATCTTAAATCCAGTTTCTGTCCTCCCTAGGTGAGAGTCCTTACTCTGACATCAGAGGTCGTGACATCCCAACGAAGGTCAAGGGCGGGCACAGGCTGTCAAGGCCGGAGTATGCGGAGGACATGTAAGTAATACCAAGTAAATGTTTGTGCAGGTATTCTTTTTATAGTACAATGTCAAGTTAGACGGACGTCCTACTTCAAATTTTCCGGAATGAGTAAACTTTGATTGTTCATCAATAGATGTCAAGACAAATATACATTTAATCATGTAAATTTCAATATGAATTGTCGTTATACTTCGGAAACTCTTTAATAATTTTAAAATGTCCAGAAGACTTGAAATCCAGTGCTATTTCATTTGAAATGTATCGACTACTTGATTTAAACATACTTTATTGACATGTCAATCTAGATTGGGAAAAGGCAAACCTTCCTTACTGAACCCTCTGTATTTACAAATGTAGCGTAAGATAAAGAGAAGACGTATAATGAATCTATCATATCATCACTCAAATGGAATGTTGACTTTTTAAAACAAAGCTTCATTTTGACTCCCAGAAAAGTTTGTATTACCAACAAAATTGTACCAATTTTAATGCTTACACCAGTTTTACGAATTCTGAAGTTAATTAGAAACGGATCTTCTTATAGAAGTACCCAGGGCTTTCTAGAAAATAAAGAAAAACATTTTCACTTTCTTAACCATAATACCATGGTTGGGTGTCACTAAGATTAACATGAAAAAAATCAGGTTTCAGCGAAATATATATCTAACTATTGTTATATTTGGGATAACACTTTCTTAGTAAAGTACAGATTCTCGTACTTTTTTGGGTTGAGTCCCGTCCAGGATTCGAACCCACACTTGCCAGAGTGAGGCACCTAATCGCCAGCACACAAAGTCAGAGATCTAACCCACTCAGCCACCGAGGCTTCCACAAAAAATGAAAGTCCGACAACTGGTAGTCAAGATCCCGTACTTTTGGCGATTGCAAGTGTGGGTTCGAATCCCGGACGGGACTCAACCCAAAAAAGTACGAGAATCTGTACTTGACTAAGAAAGCGTTATCCCAAATATATAACATTTGTTACATTTGACCACTTTCTAAATGGCATTTTGGGGCGGTCGGGTAGCCTAGTGGTTAAAGCGTTCGCTCGTCACGTCGAAGACCCGGGTTCGATTCCCGACATGGGTACAATGTGTGAAGCCCATTTCTGGTGTCCCCCGCCGTGATATTGCTGGAATATTGCTAAAAGCGGCGTAAAACCATACTCACTCACTCACTCACTAAATGGCATTGTGTATTCATAGAAATATATATCCTCGTATGGTACGAATATCGTAACCGAGTATGAAGAATATTAACGTTTCTGTCACACTTTTGTTGATCACACATTGTGTCAAACTGTAAATGCATGCCAGTTTATACTTTAACATTATTCACATTTAAAATCTGTAATGTTCGCAAATGTCGCAGGCAAATGTTTACGTCATTATAGAAAAGTTTAGAGTGAGTGAGCGTGTTGGGTTTAACTCCGCTTTTAACAGTATTATCACGGCTTGTCAGCTTAATGTGAGGAAAGCCCAAGGGATGCAGGTCTCAGACGTTTACCGCCCACGAGCACAGGTATGGTGCTGACAAACCTAGAAACATAATCGGGGCGAACCGGGATTCGAACAAACAATTATAGATTTCTGGCGTGCCCAAGGGATGCAACTCTGCACAGCGAATCTCATTACTTTTACTTTCTATATTGCTGTAACTGTTACAGTAGTATAAAACACTTACAGTAGTATAGAACACTTACAGTAATATAGAACACTTACAGCAATATAGAACAGTTACAGTAATATAGAACAGTCATAGTAATATATAGAGTTACAGCAATATAGAATAGTTACAGTAATATAGAACAGTTACAGTAATATAGAACCGTTCTAGTAATGAAGTGCAGTTACAGTAATATAGAACAGTTACAGTAATATAGAACAGTCATAGTAATATAAAACAGTTACAGCAATATAGAATAGTTACAGTAATATAGAACAGTTACAGTAATATAGAACCGTTCTAGTAATGAAGTGCAGTTACAGTAATATAGAACAGTTACAGTAATATAGAACAGTTACAGTAATATAGAACAGTCATAGTAATATAAAACAGTTACAGCAATATAGAATAGTTACAGTAATATAAAGCAGTTACAACAATATAAAACAGTTGCAGTAATATAGAACAGTTACGGTAATATAGAACAGTCATAGTAATATAGAAGAGTTACAGTAATATAGAACCGTTCTAGTAATGAAGTGCAGTTACAGTAATATAGAACAGTTACAGTAATATAGAACTTACAGTAATATAGAACAGTCACAGTAATATAGAACAGTCACAATAATGTAGAACAGTCATAATAATGCAGAACAGTTATAGTCGTTGTTGAACATTTATAGTAATGTAGAACCGTCACAGTAATGCAGACTCAGTTAGGTGTAACGGTATCAATAATATGTAACACTCATAATAAGGTGTAACAGACACAGTAATCTGTAACAGACAGTTAGGTGTAACAGACACAGTAAGGTGTAACAGACACAGTAAGGTGTAACAGTCATAGTTATATAGGGCAGTCGTAGTAATATGGAACGCCACAGTTATGTAGAACGTAGTAGAGTAGAACACAGCAATGAAGAACAGTCACGGTAATATGGAACAATCGGAGTAGTACTACTGTACAACAGTCGTGGTAATGTCTGTAAAGTCATGGCTGACGGCGACCCTCGGCAATATGTAATAAAGTGATGTCTCGATGTTTTCAGTCACTATCGGCTGATGCAGGAGTGTTGGTCCGAGTCTCCAGGCAGCCGACCCAACTTCAGCACCATCGTGGGCAGCCTGGAGTCCTCTTTCGGACTGCGACCTGATGGCAACGACCAGAACTACTACTACCAGAGATGAGCTACTCTGGACAGTTGGTGTGTTACCACACATGAGGAAGCGCTATTTTTTGCATATTTTAGATCTTATTTTACTTCCTTACGTACATATTGATAGAGCCATTTTTAACATCGCGTTCTTGTTCCTGTTATAGATGAGAGATTTTCAGTAACTAAAATGTTTTAGAAAATACAATACATACACACACTTAATGTTGTAGTGACAAAGCATGGATCAATATTCTCTCCAACTTTGACGAGTGTCTTGCTGAACAGAGTTTAAAAGATTCAGTTGTGAAATAAAAGCGTCAGGGAACTGAATAGAGTCTGTTGAGGACGTGCCACCATTTCGGAAAGTTGTTAACTTTGTCTCGTTTCGTAACTAATTCGTTCTTTCTTTTAATTATTTTGTTTATGTTTTTTTCATATAATTCAAAATGATACCTAGTTTTTTACGCACATCTTGAACTATTTGATTAAACGAATTTATATTAGATTGATATTGAAATGTGAGCACCTCAGCACTTTTTCCTTCTTCTAATGATCAAGAATATATACGTAGCTTAGATATGACTGTGGTGATTTATTGTGGAGAATTCACTAGACAAGGGTAAATTTGTGTTATTGTTGGGTACTCATGATCACTGTAAAAGGGTAAATTTGTGTTTTATCGTTGGGTTCTAACTTGACAAGGGTAAATTTGTTTTTTTTATTGTGGGGATCTCACGGGACAAGAAGGGTAAATGTGGGTTTTATTGTGGGTTTTGCATTAGACACGGGTACATTTCTGTTTTATTATAGGGAATTCACTGGACAAGGATAAAATTGTGTTTAATTGCGTGGATCTTACGGGACACTGGTACATGTGTGTTTTATTGTGGGAATCTCACGGGACAAGGATAAATATGTGTTTTATTGTGGATATCTCACGGGACAAGGGTATATGTGTGTTTTATTGTCGGGATTACACTGAGGTATGGTAAATTTGAGTTTTATTCTGAAGAATTCAATGGACAAGGGTGAATCTGTGTTTTATTGTAGGGATCACACTAGACAAGGGCGAATAAAACGACAAAACCCTTTCCATAGCCACAGGAAATATCTGCTAAAAGCAGTTAGTGTTTTCTAGTTGGAATGTTGAGTGCCAAGGAAAGTAAGTGTTAGGTTACTAAATGCGAGACTAAACCCTTTCCCGTGGTGCAATACCGCTCCGTTCTGGGGAGAGAGATGCAGAACTCCTATAATTTGTCATGTTCGTCTATTTTTTAGACTATTTTCGTCTGTTTTATTTTTATTCTCCTGCACGTTGTACTCAAAAGTTTGCTTTACAGTCATGCGACAAACATACTCATGTTATTTTGTTATGGGGCGGTGCGGTAGCCTAGTGGTTAAGGCGTTCGCTCGTCGAGCTGAAGGCCACATGGGTACATTGTGTGAAACCCATTTCTTGTGTCCCCAGCTGTGATATAGTTGGAATATTGCTGAATGCGTCGTAAAACCCATACTCACTACGCGTTTGTTATACTTTTTCAATATAAAGCACCATAAAATACCATTTATACACTTTTTGTTATGTTTAGCCTTGCGTACGATGGATGTGACGATTAGAGCTTGGTGTGGTAGTGGTAGTCAATGTTACATAGATAGTTATCTTCCCTACCACTTGATCAGAATCACGAAAGACCGTGATGATTAATTAAAGAAGATGGCTGCATGTGGGCTAAAACAAGACATTTCATCGATTAGGAATATAACTTACAGTAATGAAACATATTGCGCTTTTCAAGACATATCCATTTATCGATAAACATCATCATTGTGTTTTGATCACATGATTACTATCCGGGTAAGCTTCGGCAATCGGGTGACTATATTGCGGCGATATTTACAGTGTGTGCAGCGTACGTTCATTACCAGCACGAAACGGAAAGAAAACTAACGTGCAGATGTAGTACCAGTACTTAAAGCGCTATTAGCCAGGTTCACTGTTAAATATTGTCATGCACATATGGTGTCAATGTATTCCCTGCATAATGGCCAGTGTTGAAAATCATAAACACATCCTTTATTATTATCTACATCCTTCCCTAAGTTTCATCACTTTTCACTCTTCAAATAACCTGTTTTATTACATTTTATACACATAGCCACCTTTCTACAAAAGTTGAAATCATCGAACAGGGGTTTGTATGTTCGAATGATCATGAACGTGGTATTTATGTCATAAACATGTCATAATAGGTATAAATATAAAGAGTGTATTGAGGCATTCAATATGTGAACTAGAATGCACAGTTCGGAAATGCCTGTGTTGTCCACGTCTTCTTCCGTGTGAAACATTGTATTTACAAGAACAAATACAAACAAGACATATTGATGTGACAAAAAACTCTTTAAAATGATCTTAAGTGACTATACAACAAAAGCAAGCCAAAAGAAAACCAATATACGATTATTCACCAGACGTCTATGGCATTTTGTACTATGACTCCAATCCTATAATGTTATACCCGAGTAATGAGCATAAATAATTAATGAAGACTACATGTGAGAATTCAAATAGAATCCCTCATAAAGCACATGGATTTCCTCCCTAGAATTTTATCAGACGACATATTGTCCTTTCCGATGGTACGTGTAATAAAATACTGCTTAAGCGTGTGAAGTGGGATTTTGTGGTATTATTACACAATTGAAGATGTAAATACAAGTAAAAAAGGGATATTTCTAATTAAGACAGGAATGAATGAATCAATCAATATCTGTATTTCCTCCAGAGATGAATCCAAAGAAGATACATAGGTAACTACATGTGTTTGTGTGTGTGTGTGTGTGTTCATATAGAGAGCTCAACCTATTTTAACATGTTTATTATTGACAATGACAATCCTTTATTTTCGTTTAGGCCTACAGACCCATATCACATTCATTTACTTATATACGAAAATGAACACAAATTGCCCGATTATAGCTTATTATTCTATATTTCCATGAGTCTTGAACATATTATATATATCTATATTTAGGAAGCTTAAACATTGTTGGTATTTTTATGTTATTTGACAAAGAAATAGATCTAATATCATGACAATTAATAATATTTGAGAAAAAACATGAAGAGCGTATATCATTATAAGTGTGGGACAGTTAAATATGTTTTGTAAAATATTGAACGAAACGTAAAACAAAAATAGAACTTACCTTTTCCAAGTATTGTGTTGATAACAAAGCGTGACTTCCCCTTCTTCTCCCTGTGCGTCTTCCCGTATGGAACCAGGTTTATTTGTCCACATTCTGATGTGATGTCTATGATGTCTGCAAGCGATTGGTAACGTCCGTGACCTTTTGGATATCTCAAGGGCAGCTAATCTTAGATTATACTCTAGATGGGAGTGGTTTCCCTCAGCATGAGCCCGAAGAGTAAAATCTACCTTGCCCAGTGTATACATGTTGTAGAATCGCTGAGCTTCCAATGTATTTCTTTCGGGTCACATTTGTGTCTTTTTTTTGTCTCAAGTTTATCATCAAATTAATCTACAGATACACATAAGTTGAAGTGCAAAATCATACATGTTTCAATCTGAAATCGAGTGGGACGGGGACGAGCGGTTGTAATATATGAATTTAAAAGAAAAGAAGTACAAGTATTCATCAAACAAGCAAATTCATATGATGAGACATTTGATTTTTTTTGTAAAACATCCCATGGATTAGCAAAAGTAAAATTCACACTTTTAAAAATATTTATCAATATAATTAATACCAAGTAAATATATAATGAGCAACTGCTTTCCCGAAATATTATTTATTATTCTTATTTCCCGTCCATTCATTCTTGAAATCCTCCGCCTTTCTCTGTTTTGAAAAGGTAGTCATGACATCCTTTGTTATAGCAGCGAAACGAAAGTATGAATGATATAATTTATTTAGGATTTTACGAAAAGCATGACTAAATAGATTACGATCATACATTTACGTGTAATGTTATTAGGACATATTATTATTATTATTATTATTATTATTATTATTATTATTATTATTATTCTGGTAATTGTTTCCTAATTGGGACCTTTCTTAAAACTGTACAAGGTGCGATGGATGGAGGTACGTTTTGTGTGTCGTAACCGGTTCCACTTATTGTATGCGCAACTAGCTATGCGTGTTTGCAGACAACTGAAGTCGAAGTTAAGATATTCGTAACTCCACCGTTGAAGATTTCAATTTTAGCTAAGATAGCGATCTTAAAATTCAAGCCGTCTTATAATCGCGCTAAGATCGGTTTGTGCAAGTGGAATAGGACAATTGTATGTTGATTGACATGTAAAGTTGTAGCCGCCTAAGATCAATTGTAACTAATATTGTTCTGTGCAAGAGGATCCTGGCCTCAGACTACAATTAGTTTCCTTCTTTGCTGTCTACAGTGACATGACAGCCCACCATGATTAATATCAGTCGTAGGATGTTCTCCTGCTGCATCATGACCAACTTGCAACTTGTCACTTAAAGTATCGGCCTGGATCCACCACCTAGATTTCGCAGTAACCACTGTCAACAATGCTCACCGGATATTTCGAGCCGAAACACACACAGTGGCCTTCAACTTGGGGTCAAGTAAATGGAAGCTCGAATTAATACCTTGCACAGGTTGTGGCTAGAAAAAAGAATTTGCAACAAAGTAAAATGTCTTATCTTTCGTTTAAGCTATCACAAGTCACTCGAAACCAATTGGCGCCGAATGAAAAGCCCATTTAAACAGGGGACTGTATTCTATTTGCCTTCCAGGTCATGGTCAAACTGAGGCCACCTGTCTCTGACAGTCGCCATTTTTGTTTACAATAAGGGGCATAACGCTTACTCGGTTTTACGTCGCTCGAACTTTGCCGATGTACGCACTCCCCGATGCGGTTCATACTATCAATGTAGGCAGCAAGAGGTGTGGTTCAAACTATCCATGTGGGCGCTTACCGATGTGGTTCATGCTATTAATGTAGGCACTCGCCGATGTCGTTCATACTATGAATGTAGGCACTCACCGATGTGGTTCATACTATTAATGTAGGCACTCGCCGATGTGGTTCATACTATTAATGTAGGCACTCGCCGATGTGGTTCATACTATTAATGTAGGCACTCGCCGATGTGGTTCATACTATTAATGTAGGCACTCGCCGATGTGGTTCATACTATTAATATAGGCAATCGCCGATGTCGTTCATACTATGAATGTAGGCACTCGCCGATGTGGTTCATACTATTAATGTAGGCACTCGCCGATGTGGTTCATACTATTAATGTAGGCACTCGCCGATGTGGTTCATACTATTAATGTAGGCACTCGCCGATGTGGTTCATACTAATAATGTAGGCACTCGCCGATGTGGTTCATACTATTAATATAGGCAATCGCCGTTGTGGTTCACACTATTAATGTAGACACTCGCCGATGTGGTTCATACTATTAATGTAGGCACTCGCCGATGTGGTTCATACTATTAATGTAGGCACTCGCCGATGTGGTTCATACTATGAATGTAGGCACTCGCCGATGTGGTTCATACTATTAATGTAGGCACTCGCCGATGTGGTTCATACTATTAATGAAGGCACTCGCCGATGTGGTTCATACTATTAATGAAGGCACTCGCCGATGTGGTTCATACTATTAATATAGGCACTCGCCGATGTGGTTCATACTATTAATGTAGTCACTCGCCGATGTGGTTCATACTATGAATGTAGGCATTCGCCGATGTGGTTCATACTATTAATGTAGGCACTCGCCGATGTGGTTCATACTATTAATATAGGCACTCGCCGATGTGGTTCATACTATTAATGTAGGCACTCGCCGATGTGGTTCATACTATTAATGTAGGCACTCGCCGATGTGGTTCATACTATTAATGTAGGCACTCGCCGATGTGGTTCATACTATTAATATAGGCAATCGCCGATGTGGTTCACACTATTAATGTAGACACTCGCCGATGTGGTTCATACTATTAATGTAGGCACTCGCCGATGTGGTTCACACTATTAATGTAGGCACACGTCGATGTGGTTCATACAATCCATGTAGGCACTCATAGTACACATTAACTCACCGATTATGTGACAAACATATGCTCTCTCTGCTGTAGAAATTACTGTCGACGTAGGCACGGATAGGTGTGTACATACCACCGGTGTAGGCAATCACTGACGTCATGCTTACAACACATATACCGTTATCCATGTAAAGCACTGTTTTTCACCAGTGCGGCAGATTAATGTATCCACGCAGCCAATCAACTGTAAACAGGTTTCAGGTGTGCTCATTCCCAATAGAACCAGACAATGAATGTCACTGTTGGTATGGCCGGGACGCCAACATATGACGTATCGTGAGGCGTGAAAGTATAACTCGGACAAAGCCATTGTTGACCGGGGCAGGGACGCCAACATTTGACGTATCATGAGGCGTCAAAGTATAACTCGGACAAAGCCATTGTTGGCATGGCCGGGACGCCAACATATGACGTATCGTGAGGCGTGAAAGTAAACCTCGGACAACGCCATTGTTGACAGGGCCGGGACGCCAACATATGACGTATCGTGAGGCGTGAAAGTATAACTCGGACAACGCCATTGTTGACAGGGCCGGGACGCCAACAAATGACGTATCGTGAAGCGTGAAAGTATAACTCGGACAACGCCATTGTTGACAGGGCAGGGACGCGAACATATGACGTATCGTGAAGCGTGAAAGTATAACTCGGACAAATTGATTGTTGCCCATCAGGTACATTTAAACTGAAATGAACATGTAGTGATTTTTACATCCACAACATTGTCATGGTAACAAACATTGATATAACGTATCAACACATATTGTAAATCTGAGGAAACGGTTCTTCAAGATTTTCAATGTTTTCAAGCCTTAAAAACTGAAAACTGTTTTTGCTTTTAATTTACTAGCATGAAAAAATTTCTATCACATTGTGTTGGTACACAGAATATCTATGTTCCTTATTTCAAGACCCTTTTTGTTTCTTAGAAGGATATTCCAAAAGACCTTTCAAAATTATATTGTTTAAAGTCTTATTTTGATGAGATGAAAATGTAACAATACAAAACAAAAGAAAGTATTGATGATAGGATGATGCTATCTACATCCGCAGTACAAATACTTATCTTTAGGTTCTGAGGCAAATGGTGATATTTATTTCCCCCAGAGTAGAACCGTTGTCGTGTCGGGCATCTCAGGCTGCCAGTAATCAGTAACACATGACGAAATTCTGTATTTTCGTTGTTTAAATGGCTGCTATCATTTTTTGTTTATATCCAATGTCTTTTTTTGATAGATGTGTGGGTAAAACAGAAAATATGATACTAGTAACAGTTTAGTAAATCAAAACAGCTAAACAAGGTTACACTTCAATCCTTTGACCCTGTGCTTTAATCGGAACATGCCCACCGTGTATAAAAAGAGATATAACTCCGTACCCGTTATCCGTAAATGCAGATATATTTTGTTTAGGATCTGAACGATTCACACACAGTGTTCCTGAGCGTTGCCATCACATGTCTCAACATCTACATAACGGTGTGTGATGACGTTGTCCCAACGTTCGAAATACCGGGCTTTCCCTCATGCAGTTAATTACCTAATTCAGAAGCTCAGTCTTGTGAGTAAATGGGTTCAGTGTTTCTCATTCCAAAGTTCAATTGATTTGTCACGTGGGCGTTATGTCAAACCAAGTGCGCGAAACAAAGTATGAAAATACTGTTGTGATTCGGACAAGCCTGTGGTCTGCTACCTTGACACTGTTCACGAAAAAAGTAGGTGTGAACTAGATTAGTTAGACACATGACAAGAATTCGTCTCCTACCAAATACAACCAGCACTTAACACATGTGTCAGTCTCGATGCCATCTGTTTACACACAATAGTGTGACAAAACAATTGGTAAATATGAAAAAGGCTCAATATGCGTCGTGACGAGTAAGGCAGGTTATGTAAACATCGTGACGAGTAAAACAGGTTCCATATATCGTGACGAGTAAAACAGGTTCTATACATCGTGACGAGTACAACAGGTTCCATACATCGTGACGAGTAAAACAGGTTCTATACATCGTGACGAGTAAAACAGGTTCTATACATCGTGACGAGTAAAACAGGTTCTATACATCGTGGCGAGTAAAACAGGTTTTATACATCGTGACGAGTAAAACAGGTTCTATATATCGTCACGATTAAAACAGGTTATGTAAACATCGTGTAGAGTAAAACAGTAAATATACATGCTGAAGAGTAAAACAGGTCATAAACAGCATGACGCGTAAAACAGTCTCGATGTCACCAACTATTTACCATGTAGAGTAGAGCGATACCCAATTTACCAATACTCAATACTTATAAAAAAGCATTCACCGCCAAACCTACTAAGGCCATCATTATATGAGGTTTGGCTGAAAACTCTCACATGAGATATTTGAAATTAAGTGGTTTTGACGCACTCTGGTTTTCGTACCTTTCTAACAAATAAAGCGACAAAACCCTTTCCATATTCATAAGAAATCTCTGCCAAAAGCAGGGTCGACAAGGAACGCCATGTATTCTGTTAAATCGTAAATTGCTGAAGGTATGAAATCACATCCAGGTGTCATTGAAACTGTAAGTGGTATTGTCTGAAAATTCACTGTCGTCTTCACGGAGAATACTTGATGCAAACCATGTACCCGTCCCAGAGAGTGGTCATCATTGCTATCTTTTTTCAACTTCCCAGTGAAAGGCCTCTTTCTTGAATGTTGAACATGTACAGTCCCCAGTCTTTATATTGCAGGCGACGGGGTCAAACTATACCTCATAATTTGACATTCTTGCAAGACGTCTTTGGTAAACATCACTTCATCCGCTAGATGACAAGATGTTTTGATATAAACGTTGGATGAAATTGGTTGATATGAGTATTTTAAACGAATACTGAGAAATTGACACACAATTACCAACATATTTGCTACATTCTCTATCACATTCTCGGTAATATATGCCACCCGTTCGCATTGCTACCGTGTGCAATCCATCATCACAACCCCCTTTTTTCTTGGCGACAATAATCGCCAACAGCAATTTTGTCGTTGTTAAATACCTCAATACTCGTCGATTAATGCCAGAGACATGACGGAGATTGCACCGATAAAGAATAAGGCGTGGGCTAGAAGAGACGGTTGCTGTCGTTATCTTGCTGCCATTGAGATGGGTGGGTCATTCCCGGGGGTAGATAAGCCGGCTGCATGGGTCCAGCGGGAGGTGGGTGCTTGCCCTGCGTCTGCCCTGGAAGTGAGGAGTAAGGTGGTGGAGGCCCGGGGGGTGCGGCTACATACGTCCCGGGGGGTACGGCAACATATGATCCAGGATAGGTTGGGGTTTGGATGAACTGCTGGGTTGTCACTGTAATGTTCGGAAGGTTGTATTAGAATCTATCTGTATCAGGATATGTTTACATTGTCATCAACGCAAAGGCATCTTATTTAAAGTGAATATAGTACAACGATTGTGAACAGGGAATGAACGATTTGAAAGTAAACATAAAAGCGACAATATTGTAAAATCAGAGGGGATTTCTGCGAAAAACGAAGGTCAATTGTACGATTATATTATAAGCACTTATCTATTAATCACTTTCAAATAACATGTTCAAGTGTATTGCACAACGCGCTTTGAAAGGTAGTATAATGCACACACAACGTTTGTTCGCGACAATAATAAAATAAAAGAGACTCTTTAGTGTTTACAATATAAAGCGTAATTGTTCGACAGACATGGTGAATGAATAAAAAAAATTGTCTTGACGCTGCAAAGGAAATAAAAGCCTGTCTTTAGCACGAATCGCAGCCCTCCCACAAGAGACAGTTTAGCACATTTGTAAAACCCACATGCACGGACATGGTGCTGACAGAGAAAAGAACTGATCGAGGTGAATCTGCTATTTGAACCACGGATCATTCGATCCTGATAAGACTATGGGATGCAACTCTGCAGTCATTTCGGCAACGTTCACTAAACCAGCCGTTACAAAAAATTGAAACCGTGCATTATATTGTAGTGTATAGGCATATGCACGAGGTTATATACACATCCCTAAGTTTGAGGACCAAAAAGCCCGCCTAGACAGCCAATATATGTAACTGGAATAATTACTGACATATTGCACTGAAATGAATTTGTGGAACCTGGCCTATAGGTAAATCAGTTAAGCATATCTATCTGCACAAGTTATGTACAGGCTGGTTAATACCCAACACCAATAGATTGACCGAGTGAGTAAGTTGGGGTTTACGCCGCTTTTAGCAATATTACAGCAATATCAGGCGGGTGGACGACAGAAATGGTGTTCACACATTGTACCCATGTGGGGAATCAAACCTGGGACTTCAGGCTAACAAGTCAATGCTTTAACCATCAGGCTAGCCAATCGCCATTCCAACAGAGTGAGTCTCTTGATGTATATGAACGTCGCCGGGTCCTATGCATCGCCTACCAATGGAGCGAGTCTCCACTTACCTGTATACATATGAACAGCGCTGCGTCCTATTTATCGTCTACCAGCATAGTCTCCACCTACCCGTATGCATATGGACATCGCCGGGTCCTATACATCGCCTACCAACATAGTCTCCACTTACCTGTATGCATATGAATAACGCCGTGTCCTATACATCGCCAACCAACAGAGTGAGTGAGTGAGTATGGTTTTACGCCGCTTTTAGCAATATTCCAGCAATATCACGGCGGGGGTCACCAGAAACGGGCTTCACACATTGTACCCATGTCGGGAATCCAACCCGGGTCTTCGGCGTGACGAGCGAACGCTTTTACCACTAGGCTACCCGACCGCCCCTCACCAACAGAGTGAGTCTCCACCTACCTGTATGCATATGAACAGCGCTGGGGCCTATACATCGCCTACCATCAGAGTCTCCACCTACCTGTATGCATATGAATAACGCCGGGTCCTATACATCGCCTACCATCAGAGTCTCCACTTACCTGTATACATATGAAGAACGCCGGGTCCTATGTATCGCTCAGCAACGGAGCGAGTCTCCACCTACCTGTATGCATATGAACAACGCCGGGTCCTATACATCGCCCACCAACGGAGCGAGTCTCCACTTACCCGTATGCATATGGACATCGCCGGGTCCTATGTATCGCTCAGCAACGGAGCGAGTCTCCACTTACCTGTATGCATATGAACAGCGCCGGGTCCTATTGGGGCAGGATGGACTCTCAAAACCCGACCGTAGTAGCGTTTCTTGTACCATGTGACTGATGCTAGCAGCAAGAAGAAGGCAAGAGCCAGTATCCCAACCCTGAAACACATAACAGTAAATCTGATCAACACGTCCACGTAATTCTGTACAGCTTCGAGTCCTTTGCTGTACTTCAGCACTGCTCTCCCGATACTCTTCTTCACTTCAGGACCGCATTTGTGGTCTAGTGTGAGAGCGTCTGCCCGGAGAGCCGAAGGTCCGGGGTTCGATCTCCGGCCGCGTCATACGAAAAGACGTTAAAAGATGGTACTTGTTGTTACCCTGTCTGGCGCTCGACATTAGTGACATTAGGGCTAAAACAAGGACTGGTCGGCTCGGAGTCAGTATACTGTGTCTGAGTGGGGTATTCATGTTAAACTGCGGCATGGTATCTCAGTGTGCTAGCACTATAAATCGGCACTACTACAAGCAGCCACACACACACACACACACACATGCGCATGCACGTCGCTATATAAGTGCAATAATCTTGGACGCGACGTTAAACCCAATTTCACCTCACCTCTTCACTACAAATATCATTGTCGTCTTCACCACCAGATTCGCCTTCCTCGCCAACCCTCGCACCTCTCGCACATTCGTATTTCCTCCCACACCTGCATTCCGACATCACAACAGCTAACATTATCTGATATAGTCGAACACTCACCAGAAGTACCACAATCTGTGAATCAAGACTGGATAGTGACAGCAGACTCCGGAACAACAGTACTCCCAGTCATGACACCTGTAGCGAGAACAACTACAATATACAAAAGTACTCCCAGTCATGACACATGTAGCGAGAATAACTACAAGTAATATACAACAAGACCCCCAGTATTTACACCTGTAGCGAGAACAACTACAAGTAATATACAGCAAGACCCCCAGTCGTGACACCTGTAGCGAGAATAACTACAAGTAATATACAGCAAGACTCCCAGTCATGACACCTGTAGCGAGAATAACTACAAGTAATATACAGCAAGACCCCCAGTATTTACACCTGTAGCGAGAATAACTACAAGTAATATACAACAAGACTCCCAGTCATGACACCTGTAGCGAGAATAACTACAAGTAATATACAGCAAGACCCCCAGTATTGACACCTGTAGCGAGAATAACTACAAGTAATATACAACAAGACCCCCAGTATTTACACCTGTAGCGAGAACAACTACAAGTAATATACAGCAAGACCCCCAGTCGTGACACCTGTAGCGTGAATAACTACAAGTAATATACTGCAAGACTCCCAGTCATGACACCTGTAGCGAGAATAACTACAAGTAATATACAACAGTACTCCCAGTCATGACACCTGTAGCGAGAATAACTACAAGTAATATACAGCAAGACCCCCAGTCATGACACATGCAGCGAGAATAACTACAAGTAATATACTGCAAGACTCCCAGTCATGACACATGCAGCGAGAATAACTACAAGTAATATACAGCAAGACCCCCAGTCATGACACCTGTAGCGAGAATAACTACAAGTAATATACTGCAAGACTCCCAGTCATGACACATGCAGCGAGAATAACTACAAGTAATATACAGCAAGACCCCCAGTCATGACACCTGTAGCGAGAACAACTACAAGTAATATACAACAGTACTCCCAGTCGTGACACCTGTAGCGAGAATAACTACAAGTAATATACAGCAAGACCCCCAGTATTGACACCTGTAGCGAGAACAACTACAAGTAATATACAACAGTACTCCAAGTCATTACACATGCAGCGAGAATAACTACAAGTAATATACAGCAAGACCCCCAGTCGTGACACCTGTAGCGAGAATAACTACAAGTAATATACAGCAAGACCCCCAGTCGTGACACATGTAGCGAGAATAACTACAAGTAATATACAGCAAGACTCCCAGTCATGACACCTGTAGCGAGAACAACTACAAGTAATATACAGCAAGACTCCCAGTCATGACACATGTAGAGAGAATAACTACAAGTAATATACAGCAAGATCCCCAGTCGTGACACATGTAGAGAGAATAACTACAAGTAATATACAGCAAGATCCCCAGTCGTGACACATGTAGCGAGAATAACTACAAGTAATATACAGCAAGACCCCCAGTATTTACACCTGTAGCGAGAACAACTACAAGTAATATACAGCAAGACTCCCAGTATTTACACCTGTAGCGAGAACAACTACACGTAATATACAGCAAGACCCCCAGTCGTGACACCTGTAGCGAGAATAACTACAAGTAATATACTGCAAGACTCCCAGTATTTACACCTGTAGCGAGAACAACTACAAGTAATATACAGCAAGACTCCCAGTCATGACACCTGTAGCGAGAACAACTACAAGTAATATACAGCAAGACCCCCAGTATTTACACCTGTAGCGAGAACAACTACAAGTAATATACAACAAGACCCCCAGTATTTACACCTGTAGCGAGAATAACTACAAGTAATATACAGCAAGACCCCCAGTATTTACACCTGTAGCGAGAACAACCACAAGTAATATACAGCAAGACCCCCAGTATTTACACCTGTAGCGAGAATAACTACAAGTAATATACAACAAGACCCCCAGTATTTACACCTGTAGCGAGAACAACTACAAGTAATATACAGCAAGACCCCCAGTATTTACACCTGTAGCGAGAACAACTACAATATACAACAATACTCCCAGTCATGACACCTGTAGCGAGAATAACTACAAGTAATATACAGCAAGACCCCAAGTCGTCACACATGTAGCGAGAACAACTACAAGTAATATACAGCAAGACCCCAGTCGTGACACCTGTAGCGAGAACAACTACAAGTAATATACTGCAAGACTCCCAGTCATGACACCTGTAGCGAGAATAACTACAAGTAATATACAGCAAGACCCCCAGTATTGACACCTGTAGCGAGAATAATTAAAAGTAATATACAACAAGACCCCCAGTCATGACACCTGTAGCGAGAATAACTACAAGTAATATACAACAGTACTCCCAGTCATGACACCTGTAGCGAGAATAACTACAAGTAATATACAGCAAGACCCCCAGTATTTACACCTGTAGCGAGAATAACTACAAGTAATATACAACAAGACCCCCAGTCATGACACCTGTAGCGAGAATAACTGCAAGTAATATACAGCAAGACTCCCAGTCATGACACCTGTAGCGAGAATAACTACAAGTAATATACAGCAAGACCCCCAGTCATGACACCTGTAGCGAAAATAACTACAAGTAATATACAACAGTACTCCCAGTCATGACACCTGTAGCGAGAATAACTACAAGTAATATACAGCAAGACCCCCAGTCATGACACCTGTAGCGAAAATAACTACAAGTAATATACAGCAAGACCCCCAGTCATGATATGTAGCAAGAACCAAAATGATATGCGTCCATAATGGGTGTATGAATGCTTCATTAGTTATTTAATCTTATAGCACTCACACAGCATATGAAACGGGTTATTTTGCCATGTTACTTACTTGTACGTGAGGACCCTTGAGTGGCCGTAGGTGTAAGTGTGGTATGTGCAGACCTTGTTGCCACTCGCAATGCAGATCTGAAACACAGAGATAGATAGATTTGTTTGTTTGTTGTTTAACGCCACACTGAGCAATATTCCAGCTGTACGACAGCGTTCTGTAAATAATCGAGTCTGGACCAGTCAATCCCATGCAATTGGGATACGACGACATGCATCAATTAAGTCAGCGAGCCTGACCACCCGATCCCATTAGTCGCATGCATAGTCGCCTTTTACGACAAGCATGGGTTGCTGAAGACCTATTCTAACCCCAATCTACACGGGTCGATTGAGTGAGTGAGTGTGGTTTAACGCTTTGAACAGTATTCGAGTTTTTCAGCTAAATGTGAAGAGAAAACACGAAGTGATGCAGTTCTGAGGCGTTTACCTCTTTGATGACACCCGCGAGAACGGGTATGGTGCTGACAAACCTGGACACATAATCTAAAATTCGAACCAATTTACGGCAAGCATGGATTGCTGAAAGCATATTCTACCCCGGATCTTCACGGGTCAGATACATAGATAGGCAGACACACACAAACATAGATGCATTACATGTACGAGGAGTGGCTGAAACGTTCTGATCCTAACTATGATGGACTGCGTTGGTGAAGTTGGTCGCTGTTTGTTCCTCAAAATAATCCCCTTCGATGTCAACATACCTCTGCCAACGATGCTAGAGAGCTCAAACAGGCATACTTTGCGACAAAAAAATTCTGCACAGATGCATTGTCCTGAAAAACACGCCTTCGGTGAGTTTTCCGATATGTTTAGCCTTGAAATTCTCGCGCCGTTGCCAAAACAAATTAACATAATATTGGTCATTAATGGTCCCACCTTTAAGGTAGACCACCAGAAGGATCCCTTTGGAATCTCAGGTATCACCTTGCTGATTCAATAAACTTTGCCTTCTTCGGAAGAGGAGGCGTTAGATGTTTCAAATTCTTTGAATGTTTGTCTCTGGCTGATGGTCCTGAACCTAAAATCCACCCATTTACAAATCGTGTCTCACAATAAGATGAGTCTGCATCACAACTACGTAAACGTTCACGAGAGATTATCAACATTGAGCGTGTCAGATCTGGACTCAGTATCCTTGGATCGCAGCGTGCTGAAACCTTTGTCGTGCCAAGTTCATTCCTCAGAATGTTCTCAGCTCTCTCGTGACAGATATCTACTCTATTGTCTGTGTGACGTGCATCATCCATAATCATGCCATATGTTTTATCAACATTTTCCTTTGTAGTGTCTGTTGAAGATGTTCCTGATCTTGGATATCTTCGAGTCTCTCTCTTCTCCTCTTGAACTCCGCTGCCTACGTCTAAGCAGTGGCAGATGAAGGAGCATCATGGCAAATGTTGTCTACATTAACCTAGTTACTTTGATACCTGTAGAAATATGCAGTCAGGTTGTGTATTTGGTTCATATGAAGCCTGTACGCATGGGAAGTAATGTACTCAATATACTCTGCAAAAAAGAAATGCAAAAGTGATTTGATGTATATTTCATATATCATATAAGTAATCAACATATGGTAATCGATTGTTCACAATTGGCAGGTTCCATATGGCACACATGGAACAGTAGATATTTAAGGTGATTGGCCTCTGTTCTCACTATCGTATATGGCCACTATTAGAGCCAAAATATGAACTAGCATCGGACATCCTATGGAAGCAATCAGATCCCGAATTGTGGCCTGGAATGTTCACCCACTCAGCCTGCAATGTTTGTGCCAATTGCCTGAAGTTCTGTGGTTGTTGCTGACGTGCTCGCAGTCGTTGATCCCAAAAATGTTCGGTTTAAATCTGGGGATTTGGAGGGCCATTGCAGGACCTGGATGTTGCGGTTCGTGGAGAAGGATGTTGTCAGTCTTGCCGCGTGGCGTCGGGCGTTGTCTTGTGGAAAAATGATGTTCGCTTGTTGCATAATGGACGTGTGGCCGAAGAATCTCATCCGTGTAACGTTGTGCTGTTTAATTCCCCAGAACTTGCACCAAGTCTGTTCTGCGAGTGTAGGAGATGGATGATCACATCATAACACTACCGCCACCAAATATGTCCATTTCCTGTATGCAGATGCGTGCATAACGTTCCCCGCCACGCCTGTCAACACCATCCGCACGGCGAAGCATAAAACGTGACTCGTCACTTAACCAAGCTTGTCTCCATCGCAGTTGTGGCCATTATCCGTGACCTTGACACCACTGACGTCGCAGCCGACGATGCAGGTCCGTCAAAATGACGCCTCGAACTGGTCGTCTAGCGCGAATGCCTTCAGCACGTAAACAGTTCCTCACTGTCTGGGCTGATATCCTACGCAATCTTGGCATTGCCGTAGTTGTAGAGGTGGCCAAATTGGTTCTTTCAAGTAAGTGGCGTAGCCGTATGAATCTGTCCTGTGCTCTAGTAGAGATACGTGGTCGACCGGATCTTGAAAGGTGGCGTGTTGTCTCTGATGACGTTTCCACACGTGCTATGTGAGAAAACCTGGGTACAGCTGACTATGAATCTCCTGTTTGCAGGTGGCCGATGACGTTGCTGCGTTGGGCTTCCGTCAGTCGTGGCATGTTATCGCTGTTCACGTGCTTTAAGATTGTAATGGCGGGCACATGAAAACCCAACATTTACATAGCCCAACAAGTGATGTTGCACGTGCATGTGGTGTTGGTGTGTTTCGGCGCCGGGCTTTATGGTTGTGTTTTTCTGCAGTACCTCATTCGTTCTACACAAATCACTCCCGATCCATACAGAAATGACTCATTTATTTTGGTATTAATTTTGTATGGATGTCGGCAACACTCTATCAGATATTTAACGAGTTTTACTACTTTTGCGGTTCTTTTATTTTGCAGAGTATAATATTCATATTGTGATGGCTGTGTTGTCTTTCTTGGACCTGCACTGTGCATTCTCCTCTCTTTGGGTGTGATAGTGAAACGGTACGATTTCCGCACAATCAATTCTAGCCCCTCATGGTATTTTCTCCTTGTAGTGTTTTATTGTACGTTAAACAATTCTCACACGGCGTTTATTTCTTAAATAAACACCTGTCGACCTCCACACAAAAGTGAAACACTGCCAGACTGATTAACCCTATATAAACCATGAATACCAAAAAACAAAGAGAAACATTAACAGAGAGATAAATCATTTATAGACACTCTCTGAACCTACATACAAAACAAACACTGGCAGAGGGATAAACCGTATATAAGACATGAATAATTTATTGCTTAATGCAAAACAGAAGCACTGTGAGATGGATAAACCTATAAACTATGAAATCGTAAATACAAAAGAGAAGCACTGACAGATGGATAAACCTGTAAACCATGAAATCGTAAATACAAAAGAGAAGCACTGACAGACGGATAAACCTGTAAACCCCGAAATCCTAAAATGCAAACAAGAAGCACTGAAAGAGGGATTATCCAATAGAAATCTCTGCATAAAGCAGAGTCGATTGTACGATTACGACTTTATCATAAGCATATGTGTTAACAAATCACTATCAAATAGTAATGATACCAGGTGTTCGAGAAGAGGTGAGCGTATCCTGTCTCACCGGTGGTACCCGTCACAAACACAAGCAAAGGCAGATCAATTATTCACATTAAAAAACACGGGAACATGCGGTACAAATCAAAATAGGGAATTGAATTGGACATCGTTTTTGCCACTGATGCGTCGGATTTGGAAATGTCCTTCACATATCTCCAATATAACTTTTTGAAAGCTTAACTGAGGCCTTGAATGGGTTTTTTTAGCAAGAGTTGCGTGACGCTCTTTGAACGATTGGTAAAAAGAGCATGCTCGATTATAGCTCAAAAGTTGTGAAATGTAAACACCAAAGGCTGGAGCTGTTGGAATATTGCTCGACATGACAGGGAAAGATGTCAATGGAAAGTTGAAATCATCCACCTTGTCATACAGTCTTGTGGAGAGTGTTTTGTCATTTTATGCATGGATGTAAATATGAAACAGATGAGGCGGTCTCACTGGTCTCCTTTATTTCTAGTTCAGGATGATAAATCAGTAGAAGGGAATTGGCTATTTGATTGTTATTTAACGATATCAGATCATCGATATACCTGGAGCTTAAGTTAAACCTCTTGGTCAAATTAAACCATGTCCTCCTCCATACAAAAGTGAAACATTGACATGGTGGTTAACCCTATATAAACCATGAAAACCACTGAAACATTGACATCGGGTTAAGCTTTATAACCACCATGTATACCCCAACACACACGCAACGGGTAAAGGGTGAGGTTACAGCCTTGTTACTACTCTACAAAAATCACAGTCTGGCAATGAAAACTATAACGTCAATGCAATAGAATAATCCGTCAGGATTTTGTGTTGAAACATTTGGTTTAAATGGCAAATTGTATGACTAGATCACCGTAAAAACCTACAATCGACATGGGGCTTAATCTTCAATAACAGTGCTACTAAGCAAGAGTGCACGTGTTGCACTAGTCAGTCTGAGAAATGCATACTTATGTGGGTAAAAACAGGGACGTTACTGACATCACCTACTACACTGCAACAGTAAAACGACTAACGACGACTCTACTCTCCAGTATCCTCACCTGCCACAGAGCGACGACGACGACGACACTGCTGCGAGTCCATCCGGCCATTGTCACACCTGTACCATCAACTCCATGAACCTTCGTCGTCATCACAGAGCACGTGATCGCGCCTTTCTCCGTTACCATGGTTTTCAAGCGCTGTGATCGATACCCGCACATATAACAAGCAGTGAGTCCTGGAGGTCGGGGTAGGGATAACACATACACAGTCCATGTGTATACTGGAATATAAAGGTTACCATGGAAACGTGATAATTCACCGTGTTTCGAGGATAATGATACTAATTATCAATAGACGTCACAGCATGTGATCCGATTGTGTTATTACAGTGTGTATTGCCGCCAGCTGGACGAACAAAAGTGAATTAAATATAGATTTCTGATGTTGTGTTTGGTGGACAAGGACGGATGTACATTATTAGCAGTCAGTCCCGTGTACACTGAACAACAAACATTTCTGTAATATACGCTAAGTGGTAGTGAACAAGTCATTACCATTTTATTCTGATCTGTAGCATGTACATGGCAAAGGGAAGATTTGGCACAGAAAATAAGAACTGTGGTTCAGTTATTGGGGAATTGCATACAGTAAACAACGGTTATAACAAACTAAAAGGGACCATTAATCTAGTTTGTTATAACCGTAGTTCGTTATAGGCACATATACAACCAATATACAGGAAATGGACGGGACCAAAAAACAGTTCGTTATATCCGTCAGTTCGGTATAAGCGGGTTCGTTATAAACGTAGTTTACAGTATATGAACACCACAACATTTCGGTCACAGATCAGTGACGCGCATGCCTTCAGAGGAATGTCTTCACGCAGCATCCCTCGAGACAGAAATGACATGAATGCAGGCACGATGAAGCTGGATAAATACCGCACTGTCTCACATTGTAGCCATTTCAATTACCGTAGGATGTTTTGTTATATCATGTCAATATCGCCTCAAGCCAAACATTTATAAATTTAGTAACATGTTTAATGGTAGAAAGTCAGTGTTTTACGAAACAGTAACTCTGTTATACTCCAACAACGTGCGTTCCTGGTAAGAATGTAGAGAATATAGGTCTCCATCAACCAATGCCTGTCATGAGAGGCGACCATATGGATCGGATGATCATGTTCCGTGACTTGATTAATTGCAATTGTATAGATCAATGATCATGATGTCAATCACTTGATTGTATGGTCCAGGCTCAATTATTTACAGAGCGACGTCATATAGCCAAAATATTGCTGAGATGGCGTCAACCAACAAAGAAAATAAACGTATGTTCCGTCGTGTTCGTATTCAATACTGTTTACTTCATTGACCGCTACACACTGCATGAAACGCAATCAAGTTGTGTTCTGTTCCTGGACGATGGTCGGCAAAAGTAAGGAATGGTCAGAACTGGGTGTAGGTTGAGGCTTATGACGCACACGTGCAGTTGGAAACTCCAGAAACTTACGATGGAGTAGAGAAGGTAATTTTAATGTCTGTTTTTTTTCAGTGCGGGCATCTGAAGATGTTTGTTCTATGACTTTTGGAAATACTTTGAAATGTACTTTGTGTTTTATATTTGTGCTAAATGTGTCTGTTTGAACTACCAATAAAGCACTTTTATAGGTTTAAGTGAGTGGATCTACGAAAAATCGCGTTGTTGTCTAACAGTGTTTGTGTAACGGGTAATAAAGTATGGTCTAGTCTACTGAGGATAGGTTGAAAGTACTTTGTGTTTTAAATGAGTTTGGTTGAACTACGAATGAAGTTATAAACGTGGGTAAAACCATCGAGTTTGGAAATTCCAGGTTCGTTGATATCTCACTAATGTTGACAATAACACCAACGTTAGCGACTTCCGTTGTTTGTGGGTGCACGGGTGGCCAAGTCGTCTAAGCCGCCGCAAGTAGCTGTGTAGAGTTGCGTCCCTTGGGGAAGTCAGAAACCTGTGATCGTGGGTTCGAATTCTAGATTATGTTTCCAGGTTTGTCAGCACCATACCCGTGCTCGCGGGTGTCATCAAAGAGGTAAACGCCTGAGAACTGCATCACTTCGTGTTTTCTCTTCACTGAAATAGAGTGAAATAACTCGAATACTGTTCAAAGCGTTAAACCGCAATCACTCAATCGACCCGTGAAGATCCGGGTTAGAATAGGTCTTCAGCAACCCATGCTTGTCGCAAAAGGTGACTATGCTTGTCGTAAGAGGCGACTAACGGGATAGTGTGGTCAGGCTCGCTGACTTGGATGATGCATGTCATCGTATCTCAATTGCGTAAATTTCTCATACTATCAATCACGGGATTGTCTGGTCCAGACTCGATTATTTACAGACCGCCATCACTCAATCACTCCATTGGGTGACACAGGAACAACAGAAGGAAGCAGTGGCCTATGTAAAATCCCCTGTGTATGACGAAAGATAACTCTTGTCAGCTTATCGGCAATATCACCTGATGATTCCAATTCGGTGTGGTGAAGGTTTTCCTTCTTCTGAACAACCTGCATCAGTTCACTTCAGTTCAGATTGTTAAAGATTAAATAGGAAGTGTCCCTTACTCTGTCTGGCTACTGTGGTATACAATCGGGTTTAAATTTGTCTCATCATGAAGCTACTGTGATACGCAGTTAGGTTTAAATGAGTCTTTATTACATGGCTACTGTGGTAAACAATCGGGTTTAATATGTCTCATCATGAAGCTACTGTGATACGCAGTTAGGTTTAAATGAGTCTTTATTACATGGCTACTGTGGTAAACAATCGGGTTTAATATGTCTCATCATGAAGCTACTGTGATACGCAGTTAGGTTTAAATGAGTCTTTATTACATGGCTACTGTGGTAAACAATCGGGTTTAATATGTCTCATCATGAAGCTACTGTGATACGCAGTTAGGTTTAAATGAGTCTTTATTACTTGGCTACTGTGGTAAACAATCGGGTTTAATATGTCTCATCATGAAGCTACTGTGATACGCAGTTAGGTTTAAATGAGTCTTTATTACATGGCTACTGTGGTAAACAATCGGGTTTAATATGTCTCATCATGAAGCTACTGTGATACGCAGTTAGGTTTAAATGAGTCTTTATTACATGGCTACTGTGGTAAACAATCGGGTTTAATATGTCTCATCATGAAGCTACTGTGATACGCAGTTAGGTTTAAATGAGTCTTTATTACATGGCTACTGTGGTAAACAATTGGGTTTAATATGTCTCATCATGAAGCTACTGTGATACGCAGTTAGGTTTAAATGAGTCTTTATTACATGGCTACTGTGGTAAACAATCGGGTTTAATATGTCTCATCATGAAGCTACTGTGATACGCAGTTAGGTTTAAATGAGTCTTTATTACATGGCTACTGTGGTAAACAATCGGGTTTAATATGTCTCATCATGAAGCTACTGTGATACGCAGTTAGGTTTAAATGAGTCTTTATTACATGGCTACTGTGGTATACAATCGGGTTTAAATTTGTCTTAATATGAAGCTACTGTGATACACTCATGGGTTTAGATGTGTCTTATAATGGAGCTAGAGTGGTACACTCATGGGTTTAGATGTGTCTTATCTTGGAGCTACTGTGGTACACTCATGGGTCTAGATGTGTCTTATGTTGGAGCTACTGTGGTACACTCATGGGTCTAGATGTGTCTTATCTTGGAGCTACTGTGGTACACTCATGGGTTTAGATGTGTTTTATCTTGGAGCTGCTGTGGTACACTCATGGGTTCAGATGTGTCTTATCTTGGAGCTACTGTGGTACACTCATGGGTTTAGATGTGTCTTATCTTGGAGCTACTGTGATACACTCATGGGTTCAGATGTGTCTTATCTTGGAGCTACTGTGGTACACTCATGGGTTTAGATGTGTCTTATCTTGGAGCTGCTGTGGTACACTCATGGGTTCAGATGTGTCTTATCTTGGAGCTAGGGTGGTGCACTCATGGGTTTAGATGTGTCTTATCTTGGAGCTACTGTGGTGCACTCATGGGTTCAGATGTGTTTTATCTTGGAGCTACTGTGGTACACTCATGGGTCTAGATGTGTCTTATCTTGGAGCTACTGTGGTACACTCATGGGTTTAGATGTGTCTTATCTTGGAGCTAGAGTGGTACACTCATGGGTCTAGATGTGTCTTATAATGGAGCTAGAGTGGTACACTCATGGGTTCAGATGTGTCTTATCTTGGAGCTAGTGTGGTACACTCATGGGTTTAGATGTGTCTTATCTTGGAGCTACTGTGGTACACTCATGGGTCTAGATATGTCTTATCTTGGAGCTACGGTGGTACACTCATGGGTTTAGATGTGTCTTATAATGGAGCTACTGTGGTGCACTCATGGGTCTAGATGTGTCTTATCTTGGAGCTACTGTGGTGCACTCATGGGTTTAGGTGTGTCTTATCTTGGAGCTAGTGTGGTACACTCATGGGTCTAGATGTGTCTTATTTTGGAGCTACGGTGGTACACTCATGGGTCTAGATGTGTCTTATCTTGGAGCTAGAGTGGTACACTCATGGGTCTAGATGTGTCTTATAATGGAGCTAGAGTGGTACACTCATGGGTTCAGATGTGTCTTATAATTGAGCTACTGTGATACACTAATGGGTTTAGATGTGTCTTATCTTGGAGCTACTGTGGTACACTCATGGGTTCAGATGTGTCTTATCTTGGAGCTACTGTGGTACACTTATGGGTTCAGATGTGTCTTATCTTGGAGCTGCTGTGGTACACTCATGGGTTCAGATGTGTCTTATCTTGGAGCTAGGGTGGTGCACTCATGGGTCTAGATGTGTCTTATCTTGGAGCTACTGTGGTACACTCATGGGTTTAGGTGTGTCTTGTCTTGGAGCTAGTGTGGAACACTCATGGGTCTAGATGTGTCTTATCTTGGAGCTACGGTGGTACACTCATGGGTCTAGATGTGTCTTATCTTGGAGCTAGAGTGGTACACTCATGGGTCTAGATGTGTCTTATAATGGAGCTAGAGTGGTACACTCACGGGTTCAGATGTGTCTTATAATTGAGCTACTGTGGTACACTCATGGGTCTAGATGTGTCTTATCTTGGAGCTACTGTGGTACACTCATGGGTTCAGATGTGTCTTATCTTGGAGCTACTGTGGTGCACTCATGGGTCTAGATGTGTCTTATCTTGGAGCTAGTGGGGTACACTCATG